GTGCGCCGTGGCGTCTTTGATGACGGTGCCTCTTCGCAGGGTACTCTACCAAACGCCCGTGGTGGTGGTGGCGGCGTTCTTTTTTTTTCGAAGGGTGTCTTCCTTCTGTGTGTTTCAAAAATCCTTCTTTTGGTTTTTATTGAAAGCCACCTTGAACTGGCCTGCGCATCATCTATCCGAACAATACTAAGAAGAACAGTGAAGAGAAAGGCGCTGCTCCCCCTTGGAGGAGGAGGAGGAGGAGGCGCCAATTGAATCTTTGAGAGTTGTCTGTCAGCAGCCACGTAGTATTTCGCTCGCTCGCTCTCCAGCACGGGGATAGAGGGGGGGAGGAGGTTGTCGTTGCTGCTCTCAAGGCAAGGATGCTCTCTCTCGCATCCCTCTGGTACGTGAGCATCGTTCAAAACAGTCTTTACAAAGAAAAAGAAGGGGCGATCGTTGCTGTGAGACAGTGTCTCCGTTCGCATGCAGGTCGCACTGCGAACATATATATATATATATATATGTATTACTCTTCAAGTTCTCCTGTCCCAACTTCATCTTTGCCCCGTCGCAAGTCATTGCGGCTCAGCGGCTCGACATACCACAAAAACTCAGGAAGGATACGGCAGTCAGTGTGTGTTTGAAAAAATTGAGGGAGTCACTTCAGCGGGTACAACGAGCGTACCTACATGTCATACCTCTTCCCCCACACACAACCTCCTCAAACGTGACGGGAGGGCATTCTCCTTTTCCCGGCATTTGTCTTTGCTGATCACTTCTGTTTTTTTCTTCAGTATTGTTCTCTCTCACGTTGCCTCGACTCTCCCTCCTTCGTGGAAGTCAAACATGCGTCCTCCATCGCGGCCGTCCGCCTCCTCCAACAACGATGATCGCCGCGGCAATCGTAAACGCAGCGACGACGACGGCGGCGACGGCGGTGGCCTTGTAGGTGCCCTCGTCGTAGGCGCTGTTTTTCTTGCCATCGCCGCTGTGTCGTACTTCAGCAGTAAAGAGCCCGAAGCAGAGGCCGCGTGTGAGAAGGACAGCGGGTACTACACGCTGCCGAAGCGGGGCGACAGGGGGGATGTGGCGAGCGACGACGATGGCGGGAGCCGCTGTGGGGGGTCGAGTTTCGCTGGACCAACGTGCGTGTGCTGCCGTGTGCGGCCGCAGCGCTTCATGTTTGTGAAGTGCCGGCACATTTGTCTGTGTGAGACGTGCTTGATCCGCATGGGTCGCGATTACGAGGACACCAAGCTGCAGGGGAGCTTCGACGGTGCGGTGAAGATGCCGTGTCCGGTGTGTCGACAAGTGAGCTGCGTGGTGGAGACGTACGCGGCTTGAGTGCCTTTTCTCCTTTCTTTTTGCGTTATGGATTATCTATTTACTATGATTGCCTTTACACAATGCTTATGGCGGTCCTCACCCTTCTCTTCGCCTTCTTTTCCGCAGCACTTCGGTGTTGTTTCTTTGCTTCTATTACCTTGTCTTTCTTTCTTTTTTTTAATTCTTTCTGTTTGGTTTGCTTGTGTACGTGCTTCGCTTCTCTTAACGCGCAGCGTGAGGCCGCCTCTCAAATGCTGTTGTACTTCTCGTTGTGGTGGGGGCGGTCATCTTCGTCCCCACCGCGTCTGCTCGTGGAGTGGGTGCTGAGAGAGCACGGCGTCTCAAGCGGAGAATGCGCGGCCCCTGTGCGACACGGCAGGGCGGGACGGGTGCTCCTTCAGCACTCTTCGTCGCGTAGGTTTTCTTTCTCCTCTTTTTCTCCCACGTCCAATTCTGTCGCCTCGCTCCTATTCGTTCTCCTTCTTCCTTTTTCCCCTTCTGTCTCTTTCCTTCTCCCTCTCCGCACGCACGTACGTCACTCTTCGCCGCATGCATTCGCACCAGCAGTAATTCGTGTTTTTCCCGTCTCTGCTTCGCCTTGTTTGGAAAGCGAGAAAAGAGCACTCCTGCGCTGCGCACGCCTTTATCTATCCCTGTCGTCATTACCTGTTTCTTCCTTCTGGTTCCTCACTCCCCCCTCCTCCCCTCCCCCTTCTATCAGAAGCGTTTTAGCTTCCTATATCTGTATGTGTAGCGAAAGAAGGCACTCCGATTTTCTCTGATACGTCTTCTCCCTGTCATCACCTTCACACAGACACACAAATATATATATATATATCTTTATCTGTTTGCGTATTTGTTTGTGCACACGCGATTTACTGTTGGGCCTCAATAGACACCGCTTCTTTATATTTATTATTACTACTATTACTACTGCATCCCGGGGAGGGATACGCGTTGTGGGCGGTGCGAAGGTGTCGTGATCGTGTGTTGATTGCTTGCTTGTTTCGCTGTTTGATGGTGCTTTCTTCACAGTTGTGGCCTCCAACTCTCACGATTATTATTATTATTTATTATTATTGCTGTTGTTCTCTCCTCCCTTCATTTTTTCCTTTTGAAGGGAGTTTCTTCTGTCTTTCCTCTTTGGTCTGTGTTTGAGCGTGTGTGTGTGTGTGTGTGTGTCGTCAACGTTGGTTAGAGAGAAGTTTTTTGCTACCATTTATCACTTGTCCTCTCGCTGCTTCCTCAATCCTCTTTCCTTTTCTTTTCTTGTTGGTTCTCTTCCTCTTCAACACTACTACAACTTTTTGTTTGCAAATCAGAAAAGGACAGGTATAACAGTATATATATATATATATATACTGCCTTCTCGCTCGCTCTCTTTCATTTGTCCTTCCTTTCACCAACGCGTTCTTTTGCGGGGGAATCTCTGGCAACTGCCTCAGGGCCGGGGGGGGTCGCGGATGCAGCTGAACCTCCTCACCGCCGTCGCCGGCTACTACGCAGACTACGTCGACGCGGACGCGCCGCAGCCGTCTGACATTACCGCGTCGCGTTCACGTCCTGCAGCCGCGGCGTCCCTCACGTCGAATCTCTTCCTCCGTTACTGTCAGACTCGAGCGACAACTACAGCAGCAGCAGCAGCAGATCGAAACGCAACCCCGACTCGATGTTCACGTCCGGGCACCCTTTCCAAGGTCTCTTCGTGTTCTACGGACGATGCGGTCTCAGCCGTCGCTACATCGGCGAGTTCCCTCGCGCACAGCGTCCCGCTCGCCTTCAGTGCGGCGCACCCGCTCGCGCGACTGGCAGCTGAGCGCAGCCCTGCCGGGTACCGTAGCGGCGGCCTGCTCATCTGGGACCGTCCGCTGAGCGCTGCAGCGATGTTTCCTGGCGCCTATCACGCACCGCACCGCAATGAATCCCACCCACCTCGCTGGGGTCGGTGGGACAGCGCACGACAGCATGAGGCGAGAGCAGGAGATGTCAGTGGAGAGCACAGCAGCTCTTCCTCTGCCTCGGGTAGTCGCAGCAGCTCGCGATCCTCGTCTGTCGCCGGCTCTTCCGGGACGCAACGCGTGGTGCCACCCGCACCGCTCTTCTTCTCCCAAGCGATGCGTCGCCGCGTTGGCGTCGGCGGGGCGGCACCGGCAGCACTCAACGGCGGTGGTGACGTGGGCGAAGGCACGACGGTGTCTCCGCGTGCTCTGGCGCAGCGGGAGACGTGTGCGCTGCCCGCAACGGCCAAGATTGTCGTGGTGTTGCGGCTGTACGATGTGGAGTATCGCTCGGCACCGTCCAGGCAGCGTACGAGCCGAGGGGGGTATTCGAACGCGGATGACGGCGCCGACTCCGACGCCGACGGCACCGTCTGGCGTATGATGCAGCCTGTGCTGTGGTGGTTGGAGCGCTCTGTGAGACCCGCGGACGATGCAGCGTCTGTCGCGGCGGCCGCACCGCGGGTCACGTCCCAGGTGCCTCCGGCCGACCACCACGATAAAACTGTCGGTAGCGATGCTGACACAACCGAAGGAGGTCGAAGTGCGTCTGTCAGTGGGAGGGCAGCGGAGCCGGACGCTTCCCAAAACCTCTCGTTGTGTTCCTCACCCTCCTCGTCGGGCTCCTCTCCCTCGTGGGATTCAGCGGCGGCGGCGGGGCCACCACCATCACCACCGAAGCTCGCCTGTGCGATCCGCCTTTTCATCTCTCCGTGGGCCATGCCTCGACGACGTCGCCGCCTCGTTGTCGATCTCTGCCACGACAACGACAGCGGCAGTAACAACGGCGACGTCAACCGTCATACATCGCACCCCCCTGCGTCCTCAGAGGTGCGGAGTCGCTGGTGTCCGCAGGCGCTCGTCGAGCTCGGCCTGTGCGGTCCCGGCAGCGACTCCCCCGTCCTCTTCAGCGCCGCGACCTTTCTCGCCGCCCTCGCAGTCAATGCGAGTGACGATGATACCGATAACGACGATGGTGGTGGCAGAGGCAGCACGCGCCGTCACGCAGCGGACGAAGAGGCGCAGCGGCGGCGACGGCGGCTGCACCGTCACCAGCGCAGCACCAGCGGTGCGGTGGTGCCCGCCTTTGGACCGTTCCCTACCCCGCACGTGCCGAGCGGTCCGCAGTGGCCGGGCGGGGGTGGGGGGCGTCGTGGCGTGGCGACGTGGCGCACTCCTGCCTGTGCCACCCTGCACGTTGACGGACACACTGCTATTCATACGAGTACGACGACGGCAGAAGCGCCAGCGTCGGCCGCGTGGTCCGACGAGGAGACGCGTTGGGGGCGGCGCCCGCTGTTGGAGCTTTTCGGCCTCGATGGGGTCTGGGGCAGCTCCGCGGCGGGGCGTAGGATCCGCCGTGATGGCAGTTTGAATGAGACAGAAGAGGACGACGACGACGAAGAAGTGGCGGAAAGGGAAGATAGCGGCAACGGGTTGCCGGGAGCGGGGCGGGCCTGGTCATCGCGCCTTGCACCGCCCCCCTCCCTCCCCGTGCCGCTGCTCCCGCTGCACACCCTCGACTTGAGTTTTCGCGCCGACCTTCGCGACTTGGAGGGTCTCCTCCGCCGCTGGGCCGCCACCGGTCACCTCTCTCGCCTTTCACGCCTCAGCCTGATGGGTTGTATCCAGCTGCGTCGTTTGGACGTGTTGGCCGATATGCCGGCCGACACGCTGGAAGTGTTAAACGTATCCGGCTGTGAGGAGCTGCGTGACCTGCGCGCCGTGCGTCGGCTCGGTGCCCTGCGTTCGCTGAAGGCGACGCAGCTCATGCAGCTGGAGCGGCTTGGGTGGTGGTGGTCGGATGAAGGAGGAGAACACCCAACACACGCTTCATCCAACTCAAATGGAGAGGGTGCGGCGGTAATGGCGTCGTCGCTTTGTTGTCTCCGCCATTTGGTGGAGCTGGACCTCGCCTGCTTCCGTCGGCGTACGCACTGCCTGGAGGATATTGACTGGATCGGGGCGCTGCCCGCGCTGCAGAAGCTGGCCCTCTCCGTGAGCGAGGAGGAGGATCCCGTGCGACAGCCGGTACACATTGCCCGAGACAGAGACTACGCACAGCACGAGACGACGGCACCGGAGTCGCATGGCTTTGCGCGCTTGGCGTGGCTCGCCGGTTGCGGCAATTTGCGCGAGCTGCGTCTTGCCTTCCGCGATGGTCCGCGCGCCGGCACGGCAGGCGGGGCAACGAGGCAGACGCGCGCCTCTTCTTCCCCTCCCCCTCCGCTTCTGCCTTTTCTGGCCGTCGGCTACGCGGAGCATCGTGGTGCCCAAACCACGGACGCCCCGCCCTCCGATTTAGATGTCCTCTCCTTCTGCCCCTTTCCACATCTGCGTGTGGTCGAGCTGATCAAGGCGATTCTGACGGAGCACTTCACTAGCTGGCTCGCGGAAGGGTGTCCGCGGCTGCGTGACGTCGATCTTATCAGCTGCACGGTGCGCTGCTCCGCTGCCGGGTTCCATGAGGCACAGTCAGCGCACCGCGCGGTGCCGCTAGCGACGGTCGCCCCAAGAACCACAACCGCCGCACCGTCCTCGACAATGCAGCACAGCAGTGCGGATCGTCGTGGTCCGCCTGCTCGCGCCCCGCCGCCACTTCCGCCGCCGTCGCTGCGGCATCCTCCCACCCCTTCTCCAACAGCAGCCGGCGTCACGGCAGCTGCGACTCCTCCTCCGTCGCGCGTACCGTCGAACCGCGCGCGCTCCGTCGGACACCGTAACTTTCGCCATGACGGCCACCTCATCCACAACGATCACAACGGCGACAACGGTGACAACGACGGCGAGGACGCGCAGCAGCGCCGCAAGGATGAGCAGTGGTGGTGGTCGCAGCTCTGCCGCCTGCGCCACCTCCGTCGCCTCAGCGTGTACGACCTGGAGGGACTCGCAAGCGGCAGCTCGTTGGACTGGGTCGTCGGCTGCACGGCGCTGCGTCACCTGGGCCTGCGGAAGTGCCGGTGGCTGCTCGACGCGTACGCCGTGCACCGACTGCCGCGGCTGCGCACGCTAAACTTGAACGCAACCGGCATTGACGACCTGACGTTTCTGCGCATGCGAGATGGGACGATGGTGCACGGGCCGCCGCTGTCGCCATCCGGCGCGTCAGCGAGCACGACACACCGCACACACCGAAGGCGCCGAGAGCATCGCGGAGGCGGCGACGACGACGCAGAAGAGGGGCGGCGCGCACGTGCAGGGGGGCGCGAGGCTGCCTGCGACGGTCAGCGGCACTCCGCCGTCTCCTCCCCCTCCCCCTCCCCCCTTGGCTTCTTCCGGCAGCGTCCGCCTGCGCTGAGTCACCTGACGGAGCTCGTGCTGGTGGACTGCGCCTTTCTCTCGGACCTGAGCCCGATCGCTTACCTCACCTCCTGCAGGTCGCTCTTCGCCTCCGACCACCTTGTGACGAGCCTCGACCACCTCGCCACCTGTGTCGCGATGGAGAAGCTGTACCTCATCAACTACGCGAAGCTGACGGACATCGCGGCGCTGCGGTGGCTGTGGCGGCTGCGTGTGGTGTACATCACGCACAGCAGCGTGCGGGACGTGCGTTGGATGGCGCAGCCGGTGACGCCGCGAGTGGAGTTCGTGTCACACAGGTACGGCGCTGACCGCCGCACCAGCAGCAGCGGCAGCAGCAGTGGAAGCGACGAGGCCGACGGCTCCGCTGTCGGACCAACACGCAGAGAGTGGGCGTGCAACGAAGCAGACGACGCAGCGCGCGTCCTGCCGCGGCTGGAGGTGCTCACGTTAGCCTATTCTCGGCTCTTAACGGACGTCAGCGCTCTTGGAGCGTTGCCGCGACTACGCCATTTGGACCTGCGCGAGTGTGTCAACCTCTATCAGCTCGGCTCCAACCGACGCAGCACTAGAACACCCGCAGCGGTGCCGTCGCTATCGTCGACGCGGAGTGCGTCGATGCCCTCATCGCCCTTTGCGTCCTTTTCTTGGAGCCACATTCTACACGGCAGACGAGGGGCGCAGGACAGCAGCAGCAGCAGCAGCGACAACAGCAGGGAGTGGTCCGTGCGCTCCCTCACGACGCTGCCGCTCTCGTGGGCCGGCATCGCAGCAGAACACCTCGTCGCGCACCTGCGTCGCTGGCAATCGACCGCCGTGTCGGGGTGGGTTGCCCGCCGTGATGTCACACCTCCAGCTGGGTCCACGGCGAGTGTGCCAACGTCCTCCACGGGCACACCGACACCACCACCACTTGGGACAGCACATCGACACCCCGTCACCTCTGCGTTGTCCTCCTACCGGCTCCGATCCACTCCGCCAAAGCAAGCCATCACCCAGTGCAGCATCGCTGACCTCGCGCCCACCCTACGCTACTTGAGCCTTTCCGGCTGCAGTGCCGTCGTCGACGCGGCGCCGCTCGGGGAGTTGCATCATCTACAGTACCTGCACGCCGTGTTCACCGGGATTCGCGAGGTGCGGTGGTTGCGGGGGTGCACGTCGCTGAAGGTGTTGGACCTGACGATGGCGCCGTGTTGCACGCCAAGTGCGCAGTCCGCGGCAGCCGTTGCGTTCTTGGCTCGCCTGTCGGACGAGCTGCCGGAGTTGGAGATTGTGAACGGCCGCCCCGTGGAAAGGAACTTCCGCGCGTGGTAGGGGAGAAGGGGCGAAGAGCGGGGGGTGGAACGTGAGGACGCAACGCCCGCTCCTTCCCCGCGCGTAGTGACGTGTTCGTACCTGCGGCGCTTTCCCTGCTGTCTTCCTTTGTGTTTCTCGCATTTCCCATTTTGTCTTTTCTGGTTTCGCCTCATCGGTTGTCTCATTTTTGACTGAACTGGTCGGAAGAAAACGGAAGTTGGCGGTGTCGTTGTTGTTGATGTGCCCGCGTCGTGTACGCAGCTCTGCACGTGCGTTTATTAGAAGAGAATGAAGCGCGAATAGTATTACTATCATAATTCTTTTTATCACTGCGTGGAATGCAGTGCTCTTACGCATCACTGTGATGCCTCACACACTCGCACTCGCACACGCACACACACACGCCGCGGCTCCAGCTCCCTCCCCCTCCTCCTCGTTTACTATTGCTGTCTGCTCAATGGACCACAATTCCTGCTCCTACTTCTCCGTGTTTCGCGCTCCCCCAACTCCTGTCTCCCTCACGCACGACACGCGTGACGCGTCGTCGCGGTCTGCGTTTGCTTTTGTTGTTGTTGTTGTGGTGGTGGTGGTTTTTATCGTCACTACCGCTGCGACACCTGAATTGAAAACAAAAAAAGAGCTGGTCACACCCGGGTACCTGGCCGTGTCACCGCGCAGCATCCCATCGACTCTCTTTACCCTCCCCCACCCCCACTCCCTGTTGGCCTTTCAGCTGCTCCTCGTCACTCCCGCCATCAGCCATCACCGTCTATTCTCTCTCCCTTACTACTACTACTACTATTCCAATTATTGCTATTTGACACTTTCCTTTAATCACTCCCAATACCCGCAGAAAAGAGAAAATGCCGTCCGGAAACGGTTGCCGTGCGAACCAGCGTCGCGAGCGTGAGATGAAGAAGGCGCAAGGCGTCGGTCAGAAGCACTCCGCCGAGGACATCAAGAAACACGAGCAGAGCAAAAATGCGGTGCAGTGCAAGGTGTGTCTGCAGGGCTTTCCCCGTACGGTGCGCCGCGCGGAGTTGGACCAGCACTACGAGAAGCACGAAAAGACAGGCAAGTCGTTCGCGGAGGTGTTCCCGGACTTCGAGCAGTAGGAGCCAATCAACTTTCGATTTTTAAATAAAACAAAAACTCTGTTCTGTGCGTGGGGCTGAGTGCGGTGTGTTGGGCATCTTTCTTCGCTTTTATTGGTTGTTGTTGCCAGTCTGCACGTACAGCCGCAGAACGTTCTGCACAGATGCGCGCAGAGGAGTTTGGAAGGTAAATCATGCAAGGAATCTAGATCTAGGGTTTTTTTGTTTGTTTGTTATCCTCCTCCTGTCGTGTGTTGCTGACAAGCATCACACCCGCGTGCGTTTGATTGGTTTATTTCTTATATAATTTTTTTTGTTCAGCGTTCTTGCTGATGTTGTTTCGTTTTAATAAGACAAGGTGGGCAGGGCAAAAACAACTCTACTTTCTGTGGGTTTTCGTGTGTGTGTGTGTGTGTGTGTATAACGAAAAAAGAAGCACGAATGCGAAGAGAACGACGTCAAATGAGTGTGTGAAAGCGTGGATGCATGTACCCCCCCCCCCCTCTCCCCCCTTTCTGCGACGCAGTGCGGTGTGCTGCCAGTCGACAAGGAGAAGGAGAAGTGCGAGATAATAGAAAAGAAAATATGTGTGTCGTTTGAAGCAGCTCCAAAATGACTCGCTTCAGCTTTACAGCTTTCGGCCAGCGCTGTCGTCAGGGGAGGGTTTCGACTACGCCGCGGTTGTTGTCTATTGTACGGTAGGCGGGCATACTCCTCGCCCCACACGCCACCACCAGCAAAAAAAAAAGAAAGAAAGAAAATGAAACTAAACCGCGTGCCGGTTCAGTCGCCTACGGACTGCGAATCTCGCTGTGTGGCTCACTGACAACCACAACACTCGTAGACACAACAGCACGTGAGCAGCGCGCACGTACTCCCTCTCTGCCTCAGCCAGTGATTGCTGATCATTCTGCGCAGCCTTTCCCCTTAACAGGAGAGCCATTCAGCGCTTTGGTCTCCTTCCTCGTTCTACGCGATTCTTCTTTTCCTTCTTCCATGATTCACCTGCGATTCCCTCTCATTATACTTTTACTCGCACCTCAGCACATTGGTGCGCATTTCAATAAGCTAACTGATCATCTTCCCATCTCTGTTATTTATCTGTTTTCTAACCAGTGAAGTATCAACCGCATACACACAAACGCCCTCGTTCACCATGCCCTCTCCTTCACCCTCCCGCACCGGCAACGGCCATCCGCGCCGCCCTCATCGCACCACGGCACGTGCGGTGCGCCTCGCCGCGGGTGTCCTCCTCGTCGCCCTCCTCTTCGCCGCCCTCGCAGCGCTCAGCGCGGAGGACGCGCACGGGCACCTGCAGCACGTCTGCATCCACGACAAGCTGCAGCAGCGCGTGTTCGACTCCGTGGCGCGGCGCCGCATCGCCCCCCACCTCCTCTCCCGCGTGGGTCTCCCGTACGTCTCCGCTGTCACCCCCGTCACGGCGAGCGTGCAGGCGGCGACCGGCGGCGTGCACTACGCGCTGGCGGGGAGCAGCGCGCCGGACGTGACACGCGCCACCGAGTGGGGCGAACTCCGCGTCACCGTGTCCGCCGACGACCTCACCACCGCGGGCCACCACTGCTCCGCCGTCGGGGAGGTGATCGACAACCACAACGGCAGGAACGTGACGTGCACGGCGGCCGACGTCGTGACGGACGAGAAGCGCGACATCCTGATGAACTACCTCATCCCGCAGGCCCTGCAGCTGCACCGCGAGCGTCTGCAGGTGCGGCAGGTGCGGGGCACGTGGAAGGTCACCAACATGGACGGCAGCATCTGCGGAGGCTTCGTGGTGCCCGCGGCGCACGTGACAGCTGGGGTGCGCGACACCGACTTCGTCCTCTACGTCACCTCCGTGCCCAGCGAGGGCGGTGTGCTGGCGTGGGCCACCGTCTGCCAGGTCTTCTCGGACGACCAGCCGGCCGTCGGCGTCATCAACATCCCTGCGGCGAATATCGCGGAGCGCTATGATCAGTACACGATCCACGTCGTCGCCCACGAGATCGCCCACTCCCTCGGTTTCACTGCCAAGCTCTTTAACAAAACCGGCATCTCCGATTTCGTGCCCGGCATCCGTGGCAAGGACTACGCCGCCCCGGTGATCAACGGCACGACGGTGGTGGCCAAGACACGCGAGCAGTACAACTGCAGCTCCGCCACGTACATGGAGGTGGAGGACTTGGACGGTCCTGGATCTGCCGGCTCGCACTGGAAGATGCGCAACGCACCGGACGAGCTGATGGCGGGTGTGGCGGGGACTGGCTACTACACGGCGCTGACCATGGCTGCGTTCGAGGACCTAGGCTTCTACAAGGCGAACTTCTCGATGGCAGAGACGATGGAGTGGGGTAGGAATGCGGGATGCAGCTTCCTGAACGGCAAGTGTGTGATCGACAACGTGACCCAATTCCCGTCCATGTTCTGCGATCAAAACGAGCAGCTGTTTCGCTGTCATACAGCGCGCATGAGTCTCGGGTCTTGTGCACTGCAGGACTACTATTCTCCCTTGCCCAGCTACTTCCAGTACTTCACCGCACCCAGCGTGGCCGGCCTGTCCCCTTACTACGACTATTGTCCGTTCATCATGCCGTGGACTGTTGGGTCCTGCACGCAGAGTGCCGCCACGGCCACGCCCTTCGTCAGCGCCTTCAACACCTTCTCACCGTCCTCGCGCTGCATCGATGGCGACTTCACGCCAAAGAACAACACCAGTCGCTTCATCAGCGCCTACCTGGGGATGTGCACGAACGTGGCCTGCAATCCCGCCAATCAGACCTACAGCGTCCAGGTGTACGGCAGTGACACGTACATCGCCTGCACCCCGGGCACAGCCATCGAGCTGGACAACGTCAGCGACGCCTTCGAGGCTGGCGGCTACGTCACGTGCCCGCCCTACATCGAGGTGTGTCAGAGCAACGTGCAGGCCGCGCGGGACTACGAGAGCATGGTCGACGGCGGTTCCTCCAGCAGCACCCTCCACCCCACTCCCGTGCAGGACTCCAGCAGCTCTTCGCCGTTCAGCCCTCCCTCCACCCCTCGTCCAGAGGCGGCCTCCAGCAGCAGCAGCAGCAGCAGCAGCGACGGCATTCACGTGATCCCTTTTACTGGAGACGCCGCCAACGACCGCCTCAGCGCGCGCACGGCGGCTGTGGGGCTCCTCGCACTGGCGGTGGCTGCTGTGTGCGTGTGAGCGGCGGGATATCAGACACTCCGTGTGCAGGTCGGCATGGGCGGAGAGAGTCCGTGTGTTTCCCCCTCCTGCCTGCACGCTTTCTTTCCACTGACCTCGGTCTCTAACCTTCATTTTATTGTTTACTATTCATTGACTACTGTACGTATATATATATATATATGTGTGTGTGTGCGCGCGCGCGGATGAATACATCGCAATTCCTAAGATGGCTTCTTTCTTCCCCCCGCCCCTCCCCCCCTCCCTGACCCCTCCGTTTGCTGCCCACACACGCACACACACAGCCAATGCATCTAACATTTAAAGCTCTTCCCACTAATACCTTTTCTTTATAATACACCTCCTTTCATACGTTTGTCGAGGGGCACGAAGCACGTTAACTGTTATTCCTTTCTCTAACGGCGGGCTACACCGATCTATTTTGCTTTGTTGTTCTTTCTCTCTAACCCTCCTCCACTTCGCTGTGAACTGCTAAGTGATGCTTTGACTATTTCATCGTTTGGTTTTTCTTTTTTTAAAAGATCTTCTTCTGTTTTCACACCCACTTTGACAATGTGAACAGATACTTGGCTCACCGTAAGCAACAGCAGCTTCATCCGCCCCGCACGACGGGACTTCCCGCCTCGACGCAGCCTGACTGAGCCTTCTGGCGCATCGCTGCGGGGCTGCGGGGCGGCGAGGTGCAGCGAGACACCGTCTTGGGTGTTCCCCGCCCTCCTCTCTTTTTCTGGTGCTCTCCTCCACGACACCAACCGGTTGCGCCCGCCTTCCGTGAAGGTACCCGTGTCGGAGGGCACCACCTCGCCTCTGTCCGCCCTCTTCGTCGGCGAGCGCTCCTTCGGCGCCGCACGTTGTCCGCTCCCGTGCGTTTGACCTACCTCTTCTGACTCCTCCACCCCCGCCCCCTCCTCCCCCACCGTTTTGTTTTTGGTTTCCCGTTGTGTGATACTGCCCCTTAATGCTTGGAAACGTACGCAGAACGTATCAACCGCATACACACAAACGCCCTCGTTCACCATGCCCTCTCCTTCACCCTCCCGCACCGGCAACGGCCATCCGCGCCGCCCTCATCGCACCACGGCACGTGCGGTGCGCCTCGCCGCGGGTGTCCTCCTCGTCGCCCTCCTCTTCGCCGCCCTCGCAGCGCTCAGCGCGGAGGACGCGCACGGGCACCTGCAGCACGTCTGCATCCACGACAAGCTGCAGCAGCGCGTGTTCGACTCCGTGGCGCGGCGCCGCATCGCCCCCCACCTCCTCTCCCGCGTGGGTCTCCCGTACGTCTCCGCTGTCACCCCCGTCACGGCGAGCGTGCAGGCGGCGACCGGCGGCGTGCACTACGCGCTGGCGGGGAGCAGCGCGCCGGACGTGACACGCGCCACCGAGTGGGGCGAACTCCGCGTCACCGTGTCCGCCGACGACCTCACCACCGCGGGCCACCACTGCTCCGCCGTCGGGGAGGTGATCGACAACCACAACGGCAGGAACGTGACGTGCACGGCGGCCGACGTCGTGACGGACGAGAAGCGCGACATCCTGATGAACTACCTCATCCCGCAGGCCCTGCAGCTGCACCGCGAGCGTCTGCAGGTGCGGCAGGTGCGGGGCACGTGGAAGGTCACCAACATGGACGGCAGCATCTGCGGAGGCTTCGTGGTGCCCGCGGCGCACGTGACAGCTGGGGTGCGCGACACCGACTTCGTCCTCTACGTCACCTCCGTGCCCAGCGAGGGCGGTGTGCTGGCGTGGGCCACCGTCTGCCAGGTCTTCTCGGACGACCAGCCGGCCGTCGGCGTCATCAACATCCCTGCGGCGAATATCGCGGAGCGCTATGATCAGTACACGATCCACGTCGTCGCCCACGAGATCGCCCACTCCCTCGGTTTCACTGCCAAGCTCTTTAACAAAACCGGCATCTCCGATTTCGTGCCCGGCATCCGTGGCAAGGACTACGCCGCCCCGGTGATCAACGGCACGACGGTGGTGGCCAAGACACGCGAGCAGTACAACTGCAGCTCCGCCACGTACATGGAGGTGGAGGACTTGGACGGTCCTGGATCTGCCGGCTCGCACTGGAAGATGCGCAACGCACCGGACGAGCTGATGGCGGGTGTGGCGGGGACTGGCTACTACACGGCGCTGACCATGGCTGCGTTCGAGGACCTAGGCTTCTACAAGGCGAACTTCTCGATGGCAGAGACGATGGAGTGGGGTAGGAATGCGGGATGCAGCTTCCTGAACGGCAAGTGTGTGATCGACAACGTGACCCAATTCCCGTCCATGTTCTGCGATCAAAACGAGCAGCTGTTTCGCTGTCATACAGCGCGCATGAGTCTCGGGTCTTGTGCACTGCAGGACTACTATTCTCCCTTGCCCAGCTACTTCCAGTACTTCACCGCACCCAGCGTGGCCGGCCTGTCCCCTTACTACGACTATTGTCCGTTCATCATGCCGTGGACTGTTGGGTCCTGCACGCAGAGTGCCGCCACGGCCACGCCCTTCGTCAGCGCCTTCAACACCTTCTCACCGTCCTCGCGCTGCATCGATGGCGACTTCACGCCAAAGAACAACACCAGTCGCTTCATCAGCGCCTACCTGGGGATGTGCACGAACGTGGCCTGCAATCCCGCCAATCAGACCTACAGCGTCCAGGTGTACGGCAGTGACACGTACATCGCCTGCACCCCGGGCACAGCCATCGAGCTGGACAACGTCAGCGACGCCTTCGAGGCTGGCGGCTACGTCACGTGCCCGCCCTACATCGAGGTGTGTCAGAGCAACGTGCAGGCCGCGCGGGACTACGAGAGCATGGTCGACGGCGGTTCCTCCAGCAGCACCCTCCACCCCACTCCCGTGCAGGACTCCAGCAGCTCTTCGCCGTTCAGCCCTCCCTCCACCCCTCGTCCAGAGGCGGCCTCCAGCAGCAGCAGCAGCAGCAGCAGCGACGGCATTCACGTGATCCCTTTTACTGGAGACGCCGCCAACGACCGCCTCAGCGCGCGCACGGCGGCTGTGGGGCTCCTCGCACTGGCGGTGGCTGCTGTGTGCGTGTGAGCGGCGGGATATCAGACACTCCGTGTGCAGGTCGGCATGGGCGGAGAGAGTCCGTGTGTTTCCCCCTCCTGCCTGCACGCTTTCTTTCCACTGACCTCGGTCTCTAACCTTCATTTTATTGTTTACTATTCATTGACTACTGTACGTATATATATATATATATGTGTGTGTGTGCGCGCGCGCGGATGAATACATCGCAATTCCTAAGATGGCTTCTTTCTTCCCCCCGCCCCTCCCCCCCTCCCTGACCCCTCCGTTTGCTGCCCACACACGCACACACACAGCCAATGCATCTAACATTTAAAGCTCTTCCCACTAATACCTTTTCTTTATAATACACCTCCTTTCATACGTTTGTCGAGGGGCACGAAGCACGTTAACTGTTATTCCTTTCTCTAACGGCGGGCTACACCGATCTATTTTGCTTTGTTGTTCTTTCTCTCTAACCCTCCTCCACTTCGCTGTGAACTGCTAAGTGATGCTTTGACTATTTCATCGTTTGGTTTTTCTTTTTTTAAAAGATCTTCTTCTGTTTTCACACCCACTTTGACAATGTGAACAGATACTTGGCTCACCGTAAGCAACAGCAGCTTCATCCGCCCCGCACGACGGGACTTCCCGCCTCGACGCAGCCTGACTGAGCCTTCTGGCGCATCGCTGCGGGGCGGCGAGGTGCAGCGAGACACCGTCTTGGGTGTTCCCCTCCCCCCTCGCTCGACGTCCTTCACTTCGGCGTTGCTATTCCTGCCTTCTGCTCGTTTGACGAGGGCTCATGCGACTCACCTGGACGAGAGTGCTGTATGTTGTTGGCTACTTCTCCCTTTCACTGCGCACTTTCTTCTCTCCCTCTCTCTCTCTCTCTGGCCACGTCGTTCTATTACTGTTTGGTTTATTCCTGTTTTTCGAATGACATAGCCAACTTATCCTTCACTTGTTTCTGCAAAGGAGGGGACGGATTATTTGTTGTTGTTCTTCTTCCCTCCCTCTTCCTCCTTCATAGATCTTCAACGCGCGCCTTCCGGCCAAGCAGTAACACTTTTGTTAGGCACATGCGCCACACACCAGATGCCGTGGCCGCCGTTCCGCGCTTACGCGCCGTGTTGGGGCAGTCGGGCTCTGCGTCCAGCACGTTGTGACTCCACGTGTCTCGCGATACGCAAGCACCGCGGTGTCTTCGCGCTGATCCGCTCGCCTCCGCACGCCCTCACCGTCGCCGCGGTGTGTCTCAGCGTTGCACATTCCCTTCCCAAAATCCTCTTTCAACGTTGTCTTGGCAGCTTTTCTATGGAAGAGCGTTGGCGCCCTTTATCGTTTTCTTTTTGGAGCTCGTCTCGGCATTTTGCAGCGGCGCGCCCGCCACGTTGTTCGACGTGCGATGTAGCGCTCTGTGCCGCTGGGGAAGGGCAGACACACGGAGTATGCGGTATCACGTCGAAGGACGCGGACGAGGATGGTGCGCTATCAGCCGCTCGTCTGCACGCCCTGCCTCAGGACCACTTAACTAAGAGCAACTGGCTGCCGAGCGCGGCGTCCGCGCTTGTCGACGCGGCGGTTGCACCACACGCCCCGTCAGAGGAAGAGGCAATACTTCTGGAGGAGACACGTGACGATGCTCCCCTTCCCATCAGAAATCTTTTCTGTGCACCGGCCGAAGCGCTGCGACAACCTTTGGGGACTGAAGGGAACGACGGGGCAGGAGGCAGCGACGATGATGAGGCGATGCTGCTGGACTTCTTCGACGGTCTCCTTACCCCAGATGGAGGGGAGCCGGCCGAGGAGGTGGACGCCAACGCCGCCTCGACACCGGCCGATCAGGCAAACCATCGCAGTCAGAACGGGAAAGCAGCCCAGACAACGGACACCACGGCAGTAGCAGCAGCAGCAGCAGCTCTGTCTTCCCTGCCCGTCACGGCCGGTGCGGAGCCGCCGCTGTTGCTAGACAAGTTTCAAGCCCACGCGGTCGACCTCGCCTTACAAGGCCGCAATCTTTTTATCACCGGTGGCGCCGGCACAGGCAAGTCGCGGACGCTGCACCACATAGTTGCTGCCTTGCGGGCTCGTGAATTGGCGGAGTTCACCGCGCTGCAGCGGGCGTCGGCCGCAGCACCGATGTCAGCAGACAATCACGCAACGTCAGAAGCTGACGCGGCCAGAGATGCGCAAGACAGCAGCAGCAGCAGCAGCCAACACCGCTTTCCACACCCCACCACGAGCACAGTGGAGCGCACTTGTCAGCCGAATAAAAAATATTATTCACAGAACAATCGCGGGCAGCCCTACAGCGCAATCTACGTGACAGCCACCACGGGCCTTGCTGCGGTGCAACTAAGCGGCGCCACCATTCACAGCTTCTCCGGCATCGGTCACGGCACCGCGTCCCCCCAGACGCTTGTTCGTCGCATTCGCAAATCGCACAGGGAGGCCAGGCGCTGGAAGCACTGCCGTGTGCTGATCATCGACGAGATCAGCATGTTGGAGGCTAGCGTGTTCGAAGCGCTCGACTACGTCGCCCGGCGCATGCGTCGGCAGGCCAGTGTGCCCTTTGGTGGAATCCAAGTGATCCTGTGTGGTGACTTCCACCAACTTGCGCCGATCACGTCCAAGAAGAGCGCATGGCAGGCCACTGGTCCCGGCGCGACGGCCACGTTGTCACCCCCGGCTGCCCCCGCGACCTCGTCTTTGCAGCAGCAGCAGAAGCAGCCCTTTGTCATTTCCAACCTCGACACGTTCCTCGCGGCGTCGGCGAAGGACACGCAGAAGCCACCGTCGAAACGGCGCGGCCGGTCCGCAAATAATACGGCGGAGACGGCAGCGCAGGAGAGCGCCGCTGCAGAAGCCTTCGCGCATGCCGTCGGGTGCTTCTACGCCTTCCAGACGGTAGCCTGGCAGCGGCTGCAGCTGTGGCCGGTCGTGCTGCCACTCCCCCATCGGCAGGCCAGCGACACGTCCTTCCAACGCATCCTTCACGAGGTGCGCCGCGGCGAGCTCTCGCTTGAGGGCTGCCGCGCATTAGCGAGCCGCAGTGTCATCGAGTGCTTTCGCGGTCCAGACGCGACGGGGCGGATGCCACCACCGACGCTGCGCTTCACTACGAGGGGGGCGTCGCTGCCGTCGTGTGCAGCTCTGGCCATTCGCCTCTGCGCCACCAACAGCGCCGTTGACGCCCGCAACGCCTTCTTCTTCGCCCAGCTCCCTCCGCATACACCGTGCGCCAATGCCCTGCACCCGCCTCACGATACGGCATCGCCGTGCCACGTCTACCACGCCGTGGACTCGCAGGTGACGGAGCAGCAGCTTGCACACGGTCTGCGCCGAGGCAGCACGGCAGCGGAGACGCACGGTCGCTGGTCGACGGCTGCATCGGCGCCCGCGCAAGACCTGCACTTACCCGAATCGATCGCCTTGAAGATCGGCGCGCGAGTGCTCCTAGTGAGCAACGTCGCCCCGCGCTTCCACCTCGTGAACGGCTCTGTGGGGGAGGTGGTCGGCTTCTTGCATCCGTTGGAGATGGCCGCGCTGGTGAACTCGGTCATGCGTCGACGCCTCCGCCGCCCTCGCCGTTCTCGCCGGGGCGACAGGAATCGCGCAGGCGGCAACGCAGAAACGGAAGAAGACGGCGACAGCGGGGAATCGCCGGCGTGGGTGAGCGACCTCCGCCGGCGTGGCGGCTTCAGCCCCGACAACGATGACGACATCACGCACTGTGTGGAGACGTCACAGGCAACTCCGTTTTCCAACCTGTGGTGGAAGATGGTGAAGTCAGCGCCGCCTTCCTCGTCGTCAAATGATCGTGAGGCATCGCGGTGGCCACGCCGCAGGTATGCGGACGTTGAAGACGATGGCATCCGCTATGAAACCCTCTTTCCTTCGAACTACTGCACCGATCTTTTACGCAATACGCGGCCTCCCTCAGCGCCTTCTTCCTTCACCACCTCGTCGGTGTCACGCGATTGCCACGACGCACGTCACGGTTCACCTGGCACACCGACCTCGAGGGTGGTGGACGACGCGTGGGAAGGGCGGCCGTGGGAACGCTGCCTCCGCGATCTCACCCCCGCCGAACGGCATCAAGCGCAGCTGCCCATTGTCCGCTTCGAGCCCTTCTCTTCCTCCTCATCGACCTCTTCTTCCACTCCTTCTGCTCCGTCTCCCAGCAAGGGCGGTGCGACGTACGCGATGGTGGCGCCGTACTGCCACTCCAACAATGACGGTGACGGTGCCGTTGGACCGCGTACAGCGGACGAGACAGCGACAGCGGTGGGGCCCATCCACGGCGAGGGCTTGGCCTCCCGTACGCAGCTACCGTTGCGTTACGCGTGGGCGCTGACGGTGCACAAGTCGCAGGGACTTACCTTGCACCCCGTGCAGGTGGATATGGCGAAGATTCGTTCTGTTGGGCAGGCGTACGTTGCGCTAAGTCGTGCCCCGTCGCTGGATCAGCTGTACATCCTGAACTTCAACCCTGCGGCGATCGCGGCCTCGCCGATGGTGAAGGCATTCTACGACTCACTGGTGGTGCCCCGTTACAATGGCGGCACCGTGGCGTGACCGAGGCGTGCCGCTGTTTCTTTTTCTGCTGTGTGTGTCTCTCTCCCGCACACGTTGGAGATCACCAACCTGCTTTTCGTCCTTCACCCGGCTCAGGCTACCTCTTCAGAAACGACAACAGATTGTTATTACTATGATGGGAGACGAAAAAAGGACAGCCATCAAGGCGACTGAGGGAACCGATGAAGCGAGACCATGCGGTCGTTTCATGGTGTGTGTGTTCTTCTTCCTCTCCACTCACCATACCTGTTCCTCGGCGCCGAGAAGCGTCAGGGCAGTCGTTGCTGACTCGCCTTTATTTCCCCTTACCCTAACTGTCTTCTTCGTGCTTTCTACGCTGTTCTCACCTCCTCGCCTCTACCACCACCGCCCTTTCCCCTCCCTCGTACGTGCGACCCATCGGACAGCATATTACCCCATCTCTTCGTTCTCCTCTGCTTCCTCTTTCTTTGCGAGCACTCCTCCTTCTTCCACTCCTCGTAGAAGAGCGCGCGAGAGAGAGCGACGGTGACACCGGTGAACTCCCTCTCCCAGGCGCTCGTTCTGATCGAACGACGTCGATTCCGGATTCCACGCAGACGAAGAAAAAAGGGCTTTTCGTTTTCCATATTTGTTTCTATGTAACTGTTGTGGTGGTTGCTCCTATTATTTTCTTTCGATAATCTCCGTCTCTTCCTCACCGCAAGCAACGATGCACAAGAGCAACCAAGAGCTGAGCGTGCCGAAGATCGTCGGCGACTTTAAGGTGTACAACGTCAGCGGCTCCCCCTTCGAGGTTCCCACCAAGTACACCCTTCTCAAGATTCTCGGCATGGGGGCCTACGGCATCGCCTGCAGCTGCCTCGACAACGAGACGGGCGAAAAGGTTTCCATTAAGAAGTGCCGCGACATCTTCCGCGACGTCGAGGACGGCAAGCGCGTGCTGCGCGAAATCGATATGATGCGCTTCTTCCACCACGAGAATTTGCTGAACGTGCTGACCATCCTGCCGCCGCTAAAAGGAGACTACAACACCTTTGAGGACGTGTACGTGGTGACCCCGCTAATGGATGTGGACATGAACGTGGTGCTTCGCTCCCGGCAGGTGCTCGAGGAGTCGCACATGCAGTACTTTGTTTATCAAATTCTGCGCGGTCTCAAGTACCTGCACAGCGCCAACGTCGCGCACCGCGATTTGAAGCCAGCGAACCTGGTCACGAACATCTCGTGCGAACTGAAGATCATCGACTTCGGCCTGAGTCGCAGCGTCGACGTGCCCTTCTCGGAGTTAACGGACTACGTCATCACGCGCTGGTACCGCCCACCGGAACTGCTGCTGGAGAACACGAACTACTCCACCGCGGTGGATATTTGGTCGGTCGGCTGCATCTTCGCTGAGATGTACAACCGCAAGCCCATCTTCCCGGGCCGCAACACGATGGACCAATTGCGCATGATCGCCCAGCACATCGGCAAGCCGCCGGCCGGCATCGTTGAGCACAAGGAGGCGCTGGAGAAGCTGAAGGAGCTGCCTGAGGGAACGCTCAACATCCCGAAGCTGGTGCCGGGGCTGGCCGGGAACAAGGATGGCATAGACTTCCTCGCCAAGATGTGGACGCTAGACCCCAGCAAGCGGCCCTCCGCGGCCGACATGCTCGCCCACCCGTTCCTCGCCCACCTGCACGACGAGGAGGACGAGCCGGTCTGCCCGCGGCCATTTGATTGGGTGCACGAGCGCCACTCCATGGGCGTACCGGAGCTGCGGCGAGCTTTCTGGGGAGACATCGTAGACTACAACGCCGCCCTGGCGCACGCCACGCCGCCTGCTCGGGGCAACGGTGGCGGTGGTCGTACCTCGCACCATCACTGACGAGGGTGTGGGGGGAGGGAAGGAAAATGGAAGCGACGTCTAGTATTCGTTTTCTTTTTTGTAGAACACTATAAAAAGCCTGCCTGGCCGCTGCCTTCCTGCCTGAGCGCTGGTTGCCTGCTTGTTTTTTGTGGGGGCTGGAGGTGCTCTTTCGTTACCTCGGCCTTTCTGGCGTTGTCGATCGGTGAGTGGGACTACTCCATACCGTGGATTGATTCTGTTCGTTCGTTTACCTTTATGATTTTTCTTTTCTTTTCTTCGTTGACGTACATGTATACACACACACACACACATATATATATATATATAGCTGATCCATCGCAAATGTGGGAAGGGAGAGTCGAACGTGTGTGTGTGTGTGTGTATGATCGTGGAAAACGGATGTAGTTTACTGATATATATGTATTCCCCAACACGGCCTTCTCTCTCTCTCTCCCCCACGCACACATTGTCCCTCATGGAGAAGTTTTTTTTTTCTTTTCGTTTGTTCCCAATTTATCCGGTCTTTAACGTGTGTCGAGGTTGGTGCGAAACCACACACATACACACACACACACACACACACACACACACACACATGTGCGTCACTCGAGGGAGTTGTGTACCGCAATGTCCCTCTTCTACTTCTTCAATGCTGATGATTGTTGATTTCCTCTCCACGGCGCCTTGGTGTGCGCGCTTTTGGATTTTCTGTTTTATGATTAACGTGTCGTTCTTTCCTGTATGTTTGTTTTTTGGGGGGAGGGTTGTCCGCGTGCGTGCGTGTGTGTGTGTGTGTGCAGGTGAAGGTGCTCTTCATTGCCGTACATCGCGACATTCAAAAGACGCGTGCGTGCGTGCGTGCGTGTCCTTGCTGGCCGTGCTGTCGTCGTTCTCTGCTCGCTTCATCATAGTTTTCTTTTTCCGTCCTTTTCTTTTGCTATGCTTTTTTGCTTGAGTGTTGGTGGTGATGCCGTTTTTTTTTTTTCTTTCCTCTCTTCTTTCCTCGGGGATGCCTTCGGGTCAGCACTGCAGATATTGCTCTATTACGATGGCGATGGCGATGGCGATGGCCCCTCTTCTTTCGCGCGCTCTGCTGCGAGTGAAAAGAAAGGAAATGAAAGGACAAAGAAGCCGACATTGTCGTTCTGCGAGTCGTACGTTGCGCTCTCTCACTCTCTCCTCCGTTCTCTCTCTCTCTTCGAACTACTTATGCTTTTTTTTCTTGTTTCATTTATTCATCAATATCGTTTGTTCTTCGTCTTCTTTCTCTCTTTTTTGTTTGTAGTCCCGTGTGAGTGTTGTGGCTGTCGCTCCCTGCGTCCTCAACACCGCGACGCCCACAATTGTCCTTCGTACATCGCACAGTTGTTGTGTGTCGGTGTGGGTGTAAGCGTAAACGCCTTTTGAGAGTTGCGTCACGCGAGCGATCTTCTTTCTGTTGTTAGAAGAGAAAACAAAAAAAAGTACTGCAACGTCGTCTCGCAGTGTTTGGCGTATCACGGGAGGTTGTGATGGGACGCCAAAAGGCAGTAGCACGCGAGAGGAGGGAGGGGGAAGGGGGGGGGGGTGCAGGAGTGGCCGCGAGGTTCGAAGGAGTTGACGCATTACCCCTTCGTGCGTCGGTGTGTCTGGGTCTCAACCCCCTTGTTGTTTTCGTTGGAGACGAAATGGAAAGAGAAACTTAATAATAACGATAAACCAGCGCTCGCGCGTACTCGGTAGTGAAGGCAGATGCGGTGCAGGCTATACACAAGGACGTTTGAGGGGTGATAAAGCGAAGAATTCAATGTTGTTTATGTATGGACGTAGGTGTGTGTGTGTGTGTGTGGGTGGGTGGGTGGGTGTTTCTTTTATGTTTCATTTTTTCTTTTAATGAAAAGCGTCGATATGTAAGCATGCAGACAGAGAAAGAAAAAAACAGAAGGTAATTTCCAGAAAGAAAGGTGAGCGGAATGGGCTTTAGCGGCCGTCTCTCGCGCTCTCCATGGTAAAAGGAGAAACAAGAGAAGCTGGAAAGAAAATAACATAGCGCGATGCTGCTCTTCTGACGGAACGTATATATACATGTATACATTACGCTGCGCCGAATTGTGAAGGCAGAGCGACGCGTGTTCGTAAGCGACGGCGGATGGCTCTTATTTGTGTTGTTGCTGCTCTCTGCGTCTTCCAGCGCGTTTCCTCTTTGGTCGAATACCGCTGAATTCGTCCTCTTCGTACTTCCTCCTCATCTTCTCTTCTCCCTTTCGCCGTTGCCTTGTTGTTGTTGTTTTACCCCTCTGCACTCAACGCCCTCATCTTTCCATTCCTCCCCCCCATGCTGCTGCTGCTGCTGCCGCCACGTGTACGATGAATGCATCAGCACTTGCCACACAGATATAGAAGGAAACGAGGGAATTATCAAAAAAAAAGAGACTAAAAGCGCAGCGCTTTTAGCAGCTGCGTACTTTTATATATATATATTTTTTTTTTTGTGCCGAAGACTTGGAGAACCAAGACGGACATAAGCGCGCACCCACACACACACACACGGCAGTCCACCTTCCACAAAAGGCTGGCGTACAGGTTTTCTCTTTCATTTTTTCTTTCGCGTGTGCGTACGTGCGTTTGTGTGAGCTCCGCCGGCAAAAGCAGAGTATATATAACGGAAGAGGAAGGGAAAGCTACGCGAAGTGTCTTTGAATGCAAACGATTCTTTTTCCCTTCTTCCTTTTTTTATCATTATTAGTAGCATAGAGCGAATATATATATATATATATATTTATTTATTTATTTATTTATTTTTGAAGATCTACATCATCTGCAGCCCGCCCCTCATTACGCGGGGGGGTGTACACGTCGCTTGAACACACTCCAGTCACGCTTTGCTTGTTGCTTTTCACCTACATACATTGTTTTTCTCGGCTTATTGGTTTTCCTCTTCTTTCTTTTTCTGAGTAAGCAGCTCCGAGAGGCACCTGTTTGAGGAGAAGCACGTTAACGAGTGGTGTAGTAGTTTCTTCGCTCCCTCTCTCTCTCCGCCCATCTCGTCTCCTCGCGTGTCTACGATTATTATCGCGCAGTGTTTTTATTACTATTTTTTTCTTTCAATTGATTTTCTTAGTCGGGTGGGGGGCTTAACGGCATCAACACCATCTCCTCTTCCCCTCTTCCTCCTTCTTTTCTTTTGTCTTTGGGGGACAGAAGAAGTGGGGCGAACGGCGGACAAATAGAAGAGCCACCGAGCAGGTGAACGCATCCGACTTCTCTGTATAAACAGCGTTGTGTACTTTTACTGGACCTTCTTTGTTTGCGCTGTGTGTTGCTGCTGGTAGAGGCTGCGGCGCGTCTCAGCAGTTCTTTGTCATTCTGTCTTGATCATATTTTTCCTTTTTACGGCCTTCGCCTCCGTCCACAGCAAAAAAAATCAAAGGAGCGCCAAAGGAGCAGTTCAAGCGGCGATGCGCCTTTTTAATGGAGAGTCGCTGCTCGGGCGGCCAAATGCGCTCACCGGCCAGCGAGCACAGAGGAGGCGCGGTCTTGCCATGGCAGCGGCTGCTGCCGCTCTCTTCGTCCTCTGCGCTGCCCTCTGCACGTCGTCCGCCTTTGCGGCCATGACCTTCTCCACCGCGAACGTGCAGCAGGCCTCTCTCTACCAGACAATCCAGATTGACCTGCAGACGAACCCGCTCGTCGGCGACCCGGCCATCACCGCCGGCGACGTCGTGTACTTTATTAACTCCACCAACCGGCCCGCCTGCGCCTACACGACGAGTCCCACCAACGCCTTCGCCGTGACCCCCACAGGCACCGGCGGCTTCACAGGTCAGATGATTGTCCCCATCACCCCCACCGCGTTTACCGTCGGCGCGACCTACTACCCGTGCTACCTGTCCGCCAGCGCGTCGACAGCGACAGTTGTGGTACGAGGCCACGTCCCGGCCGGCGGTAACGACACCCTCGCGGTGTGGTCGACCATCTACACGCGCTTCGCCATGACCCCGACGACGGCGAATGGGGGAGAGGGCCTCGTGCAGCTGAACATCGTCCAGGCCGTCGTCGCTGGTCGGGCCATCAACACCGGTCTCACCGGCACCTACACCGTTCTGCTCGTCCCGTGCGGCAGCACGACCGGTGCGATCACGAGCGACTGCGCGAATCCTTCGTCACTCGTGACGGCCTGCGACGCCGTTGGCACCTCATCCAACACGCCGTCCTCTGTCATTTCGCTTTCCGGGCTCTCTGGGCAGAGCACCGGCTCCGTCACGGGCAGCTTCACCGTGCCTTACGCACCGCGTGCGGGCGGCTACTACATTTGTGTGCCCTACTGCTTCAGCAGCAGTGCGGGTTGCGGTGGGTCCTTGACGGCGATGTCGTACACAGTCGTCGTCCCCTCTGCCGGCAGTGCGGCGGACTACACGGTGAGCTTCGGCGGCGCCGACCCCGGCGTCTACACGCGGACCCCGACGTCCCCGCAGGCGAGGGAGGCCGGCTACGTTTTCTTCTCCGGCAGCGGTCTGTCCGCCTCGGATGCGATCAAGGTCATCCGCAGCGCCGACGCCTGCACCTCCCCGACCGCCTCTCTCATCACAAACTTCGAACACGGCGCCGTCGAGGTGGTGTCCACGACGGGCAGCACGACAAACGTGCGCGTGTACTTCGTCGCGCCAGACCTGGTCACCGCCCGGGTGGTGGGCAGGGTGTGCTACTTCCGCGCCAGCAGCGGTCTGTGGTCGACGGCCTACCTCTCCGCGACGAACCAGACGGCAGACTTCACCATCGATGTGCTGCAGCCCACCGGCTTCACGATTACGGCTCCCTCCGCGACCCCCACCGTCGGCGAGACGCTCACGATTGCGTTTGCCGGGAGCGGGTTGGACGGCGGGGTTGACTTGGCGTTTCTTTCCTCGGCCACCACCGGTGATCCGTGCAGCGCGGGCCGTTCACCTGTGGGGGGCAGCAGTGGCAGCAGCAGCGGTACGGAAGCCGCGTCATCGAGTGCGGCGACCAACAACGACGTCTTCAGCTGCACGATGAGCGGGGGCACGACGGCGCCAACCTGCACCGTCACCGTAGACCCCGTCAACAACAACCTCGCGATGGACCTCCGCGTTTGCTACTTGAAGGGCAGCAGCGCGAGTCAGCAGACGAACTACGCACAGATTAGCGGTAGGGTCTCGCTCGGCGCACGCAACCCGACCTACGCCATCACGCCCTACCCCGTCTACGCCGGCGAGTCCGTCAGTCTCGTCTTCACCGGGGTGGGGCTCTCCGCCGATGACACGGTGCAACTCATGCAGCCGGATCGCACATGCAGTGACCGGGGCGGCGTGGTGACCAGCGCGACCCTGTCCTCTGCGACGGAGGTGATCGCGGGCACCTCGTATCAGTACACCCTCGTCGGCGCGGCGGAGACGTGCATCAAGATGTGCTACAAGCTCTTCGGCTCCTCCAGCTGGATCGTGGCCCGTGCGGGGGTGGACCAGAGCGCCGTGTCCTCCAGCTGCGCGGCGACGAACATTTATATCGCGACCTTCCCGGTGCGGTACACCATCACGAACCTCCCCGCGACCCCGGGAAGTCAGCTCACGGTGGCGGAGACGGCTACTGTGCGCTTCACCGCCGCCAGCGGGCAGTCCTTCACCTCGACCACCTCCCCCACCGCCGTCAAGGTTGTGCAGGTGGCCGACAGCTGCGTGACGGCCCCGTGCGGTGCGGCGCAGATCGCAGCGTGTGCCCAGGCGCAGGCGGCCACCGACTACACCAGCGCCGTCACAGGCAGCGGCGGGGTCTCCTACACGTCTCTCATGCAGGTGAGCACGGCGAGTGTGAACTACGTGGTCTGTGTGGCGACCTCGAGCGGGTCGGGCGTCTTCGTGCCGGTCCTCCCGTCCAGTCAAACCTCCGCGACAAGTACCGCCTTCGGATTTACCTCCGCGCCGCAGAACCCGACGCTGACGACGCGCGCACCGTCGACGTGGCGGGTGGCAATGAACACGCTCACCACCACCTTCACCGGCATCGCGCTGAACGCGGCAACCAACGTCATCTACGCCGTGTCCGCAGCGGCGCTGCAGACTCTTTACACCGTCAACGGCACGACGGTCGCCGTCTGTCCGCCGGTCTCGCAGACGCCCGCGACGATCCTCGTGTCCGCCGTGATTGGCGGTGAGAGCAGCAGCACCTCCGTGCGCGTGCGCTACACCCGCGCCGACCAGCTCTACGACGGCGCGGTTGTGTACTTGTGCTACGCGTGGTCTACCGACAACGGAGGCGCGCACATCACCATGGCCGGCACCGTCACGGTCGCCGCGGCGATCCCGTCATCGATGGCGTGGGTGATGCCGACGAACACCTCCACCCTGCGCGCCGGCCAGGCCATCAAGATGAGCTTCACGAGCAACCTGACGAGTCTCTCCGCCGTGAACGACGCCGTGTACTTCTACCGCTTCACCGCCTCCTCCATCCCAAACCCGAACTGCTACTGCGATCCGACGGCCTGCGCGCGGGGGATGCGGGTTTCCTACTCGCCAAACACGACGCAGACGATCTCTACCACGGGCAGCATCACAGACGACACGAACACCTACAGCGCCCCGCTCGGCTTCAACAACTACGACTACGTCGCTGTGTACATCATCTGCTACGCCACGGCAGGTCAAGCCGCGGACACGTACGTCGGGCGCGTGACGGTCGCGCTCGCCAACCCAACCTACTACACGCTCGACAGCGTTGCGAGCCCGCTGAATCGCGTAGGGGCCCCCATCAACATCACGGTGGTGCGTCGCTGCCTCACGTCGTCGTGTACGTCCCTCTCCCTGACCGATTCCCTGCGATTGGTGTCGAGTTCCGTGCAGTGCGCTGATCTGACCAGTGCGTCACTGACGCTCGCCGCCGCAAGTTCCAGTCGCAGCAACACCAACACCGGCAGTTCGAGCCCGCTGCGGGATGCGGAGTCAGACGATGTACAGGCCATCGGCGACCCCGTGCTCGGCGCCAGCGGGCTGTCCTTCATGCGCCGCTTTGTCGTGGACACCGTCGGCACCTACCGCGTGTGCTACCGCCTCGCCAGCGAGACCACCTACGGCGAGGTCGTCTTCTCCAACTCCTACGTGCGCACGTACGTGACGGTCGCGTCGGCGAACCCGCTGCTATACACGTCAGTGCCCGCCGTCCCGTCCGCTGGGCAGTTCGTGACGATCAACCTGACGTGCAGTGTGATGACGCTGTGTAGCACCTGCACCATGGTGCGCATCGTGCCGGGGGAGCGCGCGAGCTGCTGGGAGGCGGTGACTGGTACCTACAGCAGCGACTCCTGCCTCACGGTGACGTCGGTGCAGTTCCCGGATCAATACTTCGCGGCTGGCACATACACCGTGTGCTACGGCGGCACCCTCTACACCTCCCGCCGTATTCCAACGTCGCTCACCGTGGCAGCCGCCAACCCGGCCAGCTTTACACCGACGTCCTCGAGCGGCAATAGCGTCTTCACCAACCAGGGCTCCAACTACACACTGGACATCACCGGCACGAGCCTCGCGACGGCGGATACGGTCTTCCTCTTACCGGATTCCGGCTTCTCCTGCCACGACCTGCGCACCGGCGAGATTCAGAGCGACGGGCAGCTGGCCAGCTGGTTGAATCCGAGTGTGTCGCCGTTCCCTCTTACGCTGACGGCGGCCGGCGTGGCGTGGGTGGTGTCGAACCAAGACAAGCGCTTCGGGGTAGGCATACTGTTTGACACGGACCTGTGCCCTGGCGAGGGGGCGCCCTGCGCGTTCAAGCTGTGCTACCTGCGTGCGGGCACCTCGTGGGCGCCTGTCACGTACCTCCCTGTGACGCCCTCCAGCGGTTCGTCTCCGGTGCCGACGGGTGTGCAGCTCGTCGCCTCGAACCCGTCCAGCGTCGAGTTTGACCGCTACCCCCTCGCCATCGACATGTACGTCATGGCCACCGTGCGGGGGGCCGGTCTCCAGCGCACCGACACCGTCATCATTCACGAGACGAACTGCGCCGGCGCCGCCATGACCACTGCGGTCCAGGCCGCCACCTACGTGAGCGCCTCTGCAACGGAGTGGGTTGGCGTGCTGCGCGTGACCGGCTCGGCAAGCAGCTACGCCGTCTGTTACTGGCGCGCCACCGTCGCGACGGAAATCGCAAGCATCAGCTTCACTGGGCAGACGGGCACCACCGCCGTGCTCATCCTCACGACGCCGCTGTACTACATGCTGAGCCCGGCGAACTTCACGACCGCCACGACCCCCGTCACGCACTACGAGCAGCTCATCGTCGGTGGCAGCTTTACGTCGACCGGGGCGGTGGGCACGGCGCTGACCTACGCGCAGGTGATCACCGTCGACACGTCCGTGGCGGAGTGCAACTACGCGCCGTTTCAGAGCATCGCCGGCAGCAACGCGACGACCTTCCCCATTGCCGTGACGCTCAGCAGCGTGCCGGACAGTGCCAGTGCCGCCCTCCCCCTCTTCCAAGGCCGACTGAACGTCGCCACCGGCCGGTACGCGCTGTGCATGAACACGTCGACCGGTCTCTTCCGCGCCGTAGCGACTCCGCCGGACGCGCCCGGCACGGCGGGCATCGCAACGGCGCTGACGGTGAGGGCAGCCGCCCCCGGCACGTACGCCTCCGTCCCCACCAACCCGATGACCGGGCAGATCGTTACGTTGACCTTTGCCCTGGTCGGCAACGACTCCTCCCCGGACGTGGCGCTGGCGGCGGGCGATACGGCGCAGATCATCGACGGCAGTCTCTACGAATGCGGTTTCTCCAACGCGACCATCCTCGCCGAGGGCTTGACGACCCTCGGCCCAGCCACCCCCACCCCCACGACGACGGTGACGCTGACGCTGCCCATGACGGTGGTGCGCAACGGGGTTCCTGTGTCGATTGCGCAGAGGTCCTTCACCGTGTGCTACCGCAAGCAACACAGCACCTTTGCCACATCGCCGGTGACGGGCGGGACGGTGGACCGCAACTTTTTCGTGATGTCGCAGGTGCCGACGCAATGGACCGCCGTCCCGACGCAGGCGCAGGTGGCGGCGCCCATCAACATCACGTTCTACGGTGACAGCAACGCTTCGGATTACCTGACGGCGCGCGACACGGCCTTTCTGGTCCCCATTCCCGATGCTGCCACGCCAGACGCAGCGCTGTGTCTCACGTCGGCGGCGTCATCGTCGACCTCCGTCGCGAGCAACTCCGCGGAGACGCGTCCGATCATTCGTGCAGGCACCATGACAAAGCCCGGAAGCGTCAACACGCAGTGGAACGTCCCCGCCGGTCAGCTGCAAGTGGGCGCCTACATGATGTGCTACGTCGCCGCGAACAACGGCCAGCCCCTCTACGTCAGCTCCCCGGCAACCCTCACGGTGTACCCAACGCAGTCGCCCAGTGGGGCCTACATCGCACGCAGTGCCACGACCGTCACGAACAACCTAAATGTGTGGCAAGGTGAACGGGTGTACTTGCTTTTCGAGACCACGGTGGCGCTGAACGTGGTGCTGGACAACACCGCAGCGTCCTCGAGCTCCTCTGCCGGCGAGGCGGACTTCGATGTGGTGCGCATTACAACCGACAGCACGTGCGCTACGCCGCTGCTCGCTGGTGTTGTGGACGCCATCCCGTCCGAGTTCGGCTACGCGGCGCTGGGCTTGGTGGACAGTACCACCGGTCTCACGATTCCGTACCTCAACCTGCGCGTTCGCGCGAACGTGGGCAACTACTACGTGTGCATGCGCCGCGCCCACCGCACGAGCACCGAGGCGTACTACAACTTTGAGGTGGTCGGGGGGCTCTACGTGAATCCCGCCGTGCTGGCGGTGGCCGCGGCGCCCGTCTCGGCCTTCACGACGGCCCCCGGCACGCCGCGGGCATGGGTGCCGCACACGAACGTGACGGCCACCTACGGGTCGGGCTTCAGCATGTCGCGCATCTTCCAGTTCTTCTTCGTCCCCTTCACCGGCAGCGGGGCGGTGACCGACAGCAACGAACTCCTGTTCGACTCGTGTTACCGCCCCAACAGCACGGCACAAGCCAACTCGACCGCCGTGACGCTGGTGAACCGAACGCTGCAGGTGTACCTGTCCTCTCCGATGTTCACGCAGTACAGCTTTGGAACCGCCGGCACGTACCTGTTGTGCTACCAAGTCCAGGGCAACAACATCGCCTCGGTGTACCCGTCCTCGTTGACGGTGCTGGCGGCCAGCCCGACCTCCTACGCGGTGCCAAGCGTCATCGCGATTCAGAACACCTTCACGATGACCTTCAACGCCCCGGCTGCCATCTTCGTCGCCACCTTCTCGCACGTCGCGCAGGTCTTCACGACGAGCGATGCCACCGTCGTGCCGAACTGCTCCACCGGCGTAGCCCCTACCGGCGGCACAACACACTTCACCAGCTTCAGCGTCACCAGCCCCACCGCCGCGAGCGTGGTGCCGAGGCTGCTGACGTCCGGCTACTACTACGTCTGCTTCCTCACCTACACGACCACGGAGTACTACTTCTCCCTGCACGCCTTTGCCGTGCCGAATGCCGCGGGCGGCTACGTCTTCTCGGTTGGCCTCACTGGTGCGCAGCGCTACACCGTTTCCCCGCAGCCCGCCTACCTCGGGCAGCTCCTGCACCTCGTCATCACCGGCAACCAGCTGACGCGCAACGACCGGGTGAAGGTTGTGCGGGTGTCGCAGCAGGAGCTGAGCGGCAGCGGCAGCGTGGCGAGCAACAGCGAGGACTACACGGCGGTTTGCACCGCGTCTGCGCCGAACGCCGACGCCGCGGAGCCGAATGGCGCGGCGGGCAGCGTCGTGAACAGCACGAATGAAATCGTGGCGGACTACTACCCCCGCGTGAACGAGACCGGCACCTTCATCTTGTGCTATCAGAGCGCGCTCCTCAGCGGGGCGTGGGTGTGGGTCACCGACGTGCATCAGTTCACCGTGGGATCCGCCAGCCCGACGCACTACGCCTTGTCTGTCAACCCACCGTACGAGACGGAGGTGCTCTACCTGTACATCCACGACGCCCCTGCGGGTCTGCTGCAGGACGCCGATCAGCTGAAGCTTGTCGACCGCGGCGCCAGCGGCTTCGACTGCACCCCGGCGGCCCCGATGAGCAGCGCGATTGGTCTGGTGAGCTACGTGCAGGCGGACAGCAACAGCAGCGTGCACGTGTACCGTCTGTGCGCCTCGTCGGTGGCCACCGTGACGGTGTGCTACGCGCTGGCCACCGCCTCGTCGGCGTCGACCACGAGCTGGGCGGAGGTGCCGCTGCAGTCACCACCGCCCACGTACATCTTCGCGCCCGTCCGAGTGGACAAGAACCCCTTCCTCGGTCCCTTCCGTGCCTTCAGCAGCAGCAGCAGCAGCAGCGCCGTCGCCCCCAGCTGGGTGGCCCCGCGGCCGTACGAGCCCTTTACCTTCTTCTTCACCTCCGCCGTCGCCAACTTCGAGGTGTTGCGGGTCGCCTTCGCGCGCAGCCCCGCCACGGTGTGCGCTGCGGATGTGGCGTACGTTGCGCCGCTCTTCTACGAAAAACAGACGGCACAGCCCAGCGAGTTTGAGGTGGTGCTGCCGTTCGCGGGCAACTACGCCGTCTTTCTCGGTCCCTACGCGAATGGCGCCGACCCGAATATCACGCAGAGCACTCCACTCGTGGTGGGCCAGTGCGACCCGTGTCACTTCGTGCCGAACTACGCCTTGGTGGGCGGCAACGTCTCCCTGTCCTTCCCCAGCAGCGTGGGCAACTCTCTGTCGAATGCGGATGAAATTCGTATCTTTCCCGTCACGCAGGGGCTCGGGGGGCGTCCGTGTGAGGCGCCGGAGGGGCCCTACGCGGGTGTGACGCTGACACCGGTGGCGTCGGCCAGTACGCCAAACTTGACGGTGTTTACGGTGACTACGGGCACAGAGGCGGAGGCGAGCAAGTACCTGGGTGAATACCACGTGTGCTACCGCAAGCTGTCGTCCTCGTCCAGTAGCAGCGGCAGTGCGGCGAATGCGCGCTTCGCCGTCGTCGCCGAGAACAACGGCACGGCGTCGATCTTCTCCATTTACCCCGTCGACCTGCTGGCGGCATCCGTGTGTCCCGCGTCGCCGATGTTCGCCCTGGAGACGGCCGTGTACAACGTGACCGCAAAGGACCCTACCCGGTATCCGAACGTGGACTTCGCCGCGGGGGATCAGATGGTGATTGTCCCGACGGACGTGTTCAACAGCAGCACCGGGTGTGCGAACATCACCGATGTGCGCGCCTTCATTGCTTCGACGGGCTTCCGCGCGCAGCAGCCGACGCTCGACACCTTCGGACGCGGCCGCTCCAACTGGCACCTCACCCTGGCCGCCCAGGAGGCCGCCACGAACTACGTCTGGTGCTTCAAAATGCTGTACGACTCCCTCTTCCGCAGCATCGCACCCGCGCCGCAGACCGTCGAGGTGGAGGACCCGGACGAGGTAACCACCATCCCACCCGTCGTCCTGCCCGACTCGACCGGCGTGCAGTTCATCATCACCGGCACCGGCCTGGCATCGACGGACGGCGTGTACATCGTGCCGGCGTCGGAGTCGTGCGCGGAGACGTGCTATCGCCCGCTGACGCCGACGCAGTGGACGGGGACGACGCACACCGTCACCTACGTGAACAGCACTACCGTTATCGTCAACTTCGCCTCTGCGATCAACACCGTGGTGACGCTCGGCGTGTGCTACCGCCGCGCCGGGCGGTACCTGACGCGGCTGGCGAATATCTACATTGGGGAACCGAACCCGGTCTCGTACACGGTGAACTTCGAGCCGCAGGTTGGCACGCAGCCGACCCTCACCTTCACCGGCACCGGGCTGACCGCAACGGATGCAATGCTGATTGTACAGCCAGGGGCGACGTGTCTGCTGCGCAACGCCGTGGCCGTTGGCACCTTCGTGTCCGTCAGCGGCGACGCAAAGACCAGCAGGTTCAACCTGACCCTCACACGGGGCGTCGTGGTGGCGCAGAGCTACACGGTATGCTATCAGATCTCCACCGTCGGCGCCTACGTCGTGGTGCGGCCCTTGCTGCCTGTCCTGGACACCCTCCCGACTGCGGTGACGACGAGCAACACGCCGATGCGGGGTCGTGCGACGGTGCTGAGCGTGGCGAACCCCCAGATCGGCGACGAGATGTACATCGCGTGCCCGGGATGCAGCTGCTACGACCTGCGGACGGCGACGGTGCCCTACGGCAGCCCCTCGGCAACGGCGACGGAGGTGCATGCCAGCGGCAGCTCCTCGAGCGTTACCGTGACCATCACCATCCGCGTCGGCTTCAACGACACGCAGCGCTACCCGGTCTGCTACCGCCACTCCAACAGCGGCTACGCGCAGATCGGCGGTCCCTCCTCCTTTGTCACCCCCGTCACGAACTCACCGAGTGCGGTGCTGCACCAGCCAGCCGCCGGTGCCCAATTCCAGGGCCAGCGTCTCCACTACAACTTCTCCACCTACTCCGCCGCGGTGCCTCTGCGCAGCAGCGATGCGGTGATGCTCGTGCAGGCGGGTCGGCAGTGCTGGGAGACGCCGGCGATGAGTACGAGCGGGATTGTGGTGGGCACCAGCACTCTGACCAGCGCCGACGCCGCGGCGGGGGTAGGCGAGTGGGCGGCGCACATCCCATCGCTTGGCCCCGGCGTCCCACCCGACGCCACAACGCTCTTCCCGCTGTCGTACCTGCTGTGCTACCGTGAGTCGACGCAAGCGGAGTACGTGAGCGTGCCGTACGTGATGCAGTCCACCGTGATGGCGGCAGCGGATCCGGTGACCTTCTCCACCGTGCCGGCCGTCGTGGAAACGGGCATGTTGGGTGTGAACACGACCTTCGCCTACGCAGTGAAGGGTCAGGCGGGGGATGAGGCCTACATTGTGCAGTTCACGACGCTCACGAACACCGTTTGTGACGACGCCGCGTCGACTGTTATCGCCACACTGAGCAGCGCCTTCCCCGTCTACACCTTTGGACTTTCCGGGGAGTCCGTTGTCGGCAACAACAACACGGCGATGTGCTACGTGCGCGCTGATGGGACGGTGGCCGAGGTGCCGCAGCTGCTGCCGATCGTGCAGGGCAACCCGACCGGGTATGTGACGAACATTACAGCGGGGCAGCAAGCGTTGCAGCGGCAATACATTCAGTTCACCATCCGCGGCACCGGCCTCAGCGCCACGGCGGACTCGGTCGTGTTTACCGACGTGCACTGCGCGGAGGCTCCTCCCCCCCCCACCCCGAGTCCCTTCCTCGCCCGCCAGGGAGATGCGACGTCCAACGGCACCGCCTACGTGGTCGAGGCGCAGTTCATCGCCTCCCGTAGCCCCATAAGCATATACGTGTGTTACAGGCACAACTCGGTGTGGCGTGAGATCGGCCAGCAGCTGGTGCTGTACCCCCCGCGACCGAGCACGGTGACGGTCTTCTCCTCCACCGGCTCCGGTAACATCCCGCGTGTCGGTCAGCACATCTTTCTGATGTTGAACGACGCCCTGCACACCTTGGCGACGGGGGCGGCGGTGCTGAGCGCGCGGCCGACGGGGGCCGGCACGTGGTGCCATAACTTCACGGCGGCAGACGTGCAGGAACAAGCGCTGGTCATCCAGACGCCGAGTCTGCTGAGTGTGCCGGTGTGGGAGACCCCCGGCCTGTCTCGGCTTTGCGTGTTGAGCAACAACACCGTGCCGTGGTCTGACGTGGCCGCCACGGTGGACGCGGCGAGCATTTACATCTTTCCCGCGAACCCGTCCAGCATGGACGTCTACCCGGCGCCGCCGCGTGTGGGGCAGAGGGTGACGCTGACTTTTCACCTCGTGGTGAACGCCAGCGCGCAGGACGCGGTGAAGATCACGACGGTGGATCACACCGCGTGCGACGAGGCGGTGGGCGTCCCCGGCTTGGAGGACGTCATGCTCGTCTCCCGCGTGGTAAACGAATCGACGACGACCATCACGCTCGTGGATACGACGGACCCTCTTGCCTACCGCAGCTTCAACAGGACCGGAAACTATCGGGTGTGCTACTTCAGCTACAGCGCGCTGACGTGGGGCGTCGTCGGGGGGACGCTGGCGGCCGGCACCGTCACGGTCGTCGAGGCAGTGCCGCAGTCGTGGAGCATCGCAAGCGGCTCTGCGCAGGTGGGTCAGTCCTTCGCCCTCGCCTTCTATGATACATTGGGCGTCCTGCAGCCGACGGCCGGCCGTGATTTGGTCTGGGCCGCTCCGTCCACGGTGAACTGCGCCCAGGACCCGCACACCTGCACGGGCTGCCTTATCTTTGAGTGGGACACGACGAAGTCGAACGCGAGCGTGGCGGTGACCTCGGCCAACGCCACCGTGCGCGTCGGTGAGATGAACCTGTGCTACCGGCTCAGTAACGCCACCGCCGCCCTCGTACCCGGCTCGCTCAACATCACAACGGGTCCGGTGCAGTGTGTGGAGCAGACGTCGTTCATATCCGGCCAGCGTCAGGAGGTGACCTTCCGGCTGCAGGAGGGCACCAACGTGACGGACGACTCGTGGCGGCTGTCCTTCTTCGCCACGACGGCGTTGAACTGCCAGGACCGCTATGTGGGGGACTTCGTGCCGGGTTTGGCGGTGTTACAGTCCACCACCTCGACCGCCGCGACGTACTCGGTGGTGTGGCCGGTGGGCCTGGGCGTGGACACGGACCGCTACACCGTCTGCTACGACCACAACGGCGTCATCGGGACAGTGTGCACGTGTGGGCAGATCGACGCGAACACGGGGGAGTGCTACCTCATGGCGACGCCCGGCTCTCCGCAGAGCTTCACCCCGACACCGCAGCCGACCTACGTGGGCCAAGCCATCACGCTTACGTTTGCGATCAACGAGTCCATGACCGCCTACCCGCCCACGGCAATTAAGTTTGTGACATACACGAACGAGCTGACCTCGTGCGACGCCGACGCCGCCTTCACGCCTGTCGGGGCGGTGCTGACCCGTGTCAGCTCCACCGTCTACACCTACGCCTTCAAGCACGACTATACGCTCGGCACATCGACGCTGCTGGTGTGCGCCCTGACCGACCTCTCCCCCACATACGCCCGTGTTGCCTCAACGATCAAGCCTTCGTCGCCGACGTCGAACAACACGCTGTGGATACGGCCCTTCTTGACGCTCAGCACGTTTCCCTCGTCCGCGGACTATCTTCGCGCGCTGCAGACGCTGAACTTGACCTTCACCATGACAAGCCGGCGGACGGACGACCTCGTGAACGCCGCGGATCAGTTCACCTTGGTCGGCGACCCAGCAAACTGTGTGGAGTCGTACATCGACGGCCAGGACCCGGTGACGCAGATGGCGATGTTTGTGCTGACAGACGTGGCCTTCCTGACGCTGCCGTCCGCCGTGCTGAGCGCCAGCCCGACCGCCTTCACCTCCCGCACGCTCGCCACCTTCGCGAACTCAACGACCGGGAAGGGGGTGCACTACTTCTGCTACAAGCCAGCGGCGGGCACCTATGCGCCGGTGCTTCCAGCTCTACCCATCGGCGACGCCCTCTTCACCGGCTGCGACGTGACGGAGATCGTCAGCCCCGGCAACGGCGACCTCAGCGGCAGCCTGCGCGCTATGTACTACGCCCCCACGACCATTCTCGGCACGACGGTGTTTGCCACGCTGGCGAACACCTCAGTAGATGCGATTCGGGTGGTACCGCAGAAGGAGTGGTGCACGAACGACGCCGCGGTGGTCTTCACGACGTCCCTCGCCGCGACCACCACCCCGGCAGACCTCAACACGGTGTTCTTCGCCTCACTGCCGGGCACGTATAAGGTGTGCTACCGTTTTGGAACGGCGACGACGAACTGGAGCCCGGCGTGCCCGGGCCTGGCCGTGACGAACGCCACGCCGGTTGGTGCGGCGACTGGCTGCTGGAATGTCGGGCAGACACTGCAGGTCAACTTGAGCAACCCGGTCACGGGGCACGTCTTCAACGCCGCCGACCGCCTCCGCTTCATCGCGGGAACGCTGCCGTGCCTGGAGCCAAACCGGTCCATCGTCACGGCGTCACCGACCATCACCGTCGGCGACGCCGTCCAGCCCCCAACCGGCTTCGTTCTCGCGAACGTGTCTACCGGGCAGACGACGTATGCGGTGTCGGACGTCTTCCTCCGCATGGGTACGACTTCCGTGCGGCTGTGCTACACCGATGCCGCGGGGAATGAATTTGCCATCCCAATGGACTACGCCAACCGGCCCGGTCAGTCAAGCGTTGTCGTGCAGGGACGCCAGCCGGGCTCCTTGCGATTAGACCAGCGCTACCTCCAGGTGGGTCAGCGACTGCTGTTGAACTTCAGCTCCGCTGGCTCGACTGTCACGCCGCCGCTGGTCCCGTACGGTACGCTGCCGTCGCCCTACACACCCGGGCCCGCCTTCAATGGAACCTTCGACGGGGCGACGATGCTGCCCATTTCGAACTCGGCAGCGTACGTTGATGGTCGGTGTGCGGCGGCGTTGCGCTCCGGCACGCTGGTCCCCACCGACTTCCTGGGCGTCTACGGCCCGACACAGGCGGGCGGCTCGACGAACATCGTCCCGTACACCGTGGGCAGCTACGACCCGACCGTGCCGCAGTACTACATCACGTGTTATCAGCTGGCGACATGTGGCGTGGTGGACAGCGGCGACCCGCTGCGGGTGTACGGTGCGAACCCGTCGAACGTCTTCACTGTCACGGCGGTGCCCCGGCGCGGTCAGCTCATCATTGTGTTCTTTGATCGCGACACGTCGTCGCCAAACGCGGTCCACCTGACACCGAATGGAGATCGCGGTGCGAAGCAGGCGAACCTGGCCGCGTGCTGGTCCTTGAGCAACACGGCCGGCACCGTCGTCGTCGGCACACCCGATCGGACGAACTTCACGACCATCTTCCCCGCACAAGCGCCAGCGCGGGCCGCGAACACGTCGACGCGCAGCTGCTACCGGCTGGTCGACGGCAGCTGGTCGGAGGTGCCCAACGGCGTCGCCGTTGTCCTGCCAGCAAACCCGACCAACTTCGAGACGCTGCCAACGTCGGCGCGAGTGGATCAGGTGAACTACATCCGCTTCCACGGTAGCGGGCTCGGGGCGACGGACCGCATGAAGATCATTGCGCAGTCGTTGAACTGCAGCGAGGACTCCGTGCCGCCGAGCACGTTTGCCGCCTACACCGCCGCAAGCCCCACCACACCCACGACGGCGACGTCGGCCGGCTGGACCGTGATGGAGGCGAGCAGCGACGGCACGACGACGACACTGAACTTCACGGCCAGGGCGACCGGCACGTACAGCGTGTGCTACCGACTGGCGACGGACACGGTGTGGACGCTGGTGTACGCAGACCTCGTCATCTACGAGCACAACCCCGCCAACGTAACTCGCACCCCCGTGGCGTCGCTGGAGGGGGAGCTGTTCACGCTCAACTTCACCGCCTCCGCGCAAGGGCAGTCCGGTATGTCGGCGAAGGATCGTGTGGTGCTCTACTTCGGCAACGAGGTGAACTGCGTCGCGCCGACCGAGGAGCAGATCGCGCCATCCGTCAGCGCCGCGCCGTCCCGCACGGATCGCTTGCCGAACTCCCTCGCCTTCCAGATGGCCGCCGGCACGCGAGGCAGCTACACCCTGTGCTACCAGATGGCGTCAGCCACGGCGCCCGGCGGGTACACGACGGTGTGGGGCTACGACACGGTGGTGATCGCGGCGAACCCGGAAAACGTGACCCTCTACCCTATCCGCAGCGGCACCGCGGCGACAACGGTGTACCGTGCGAACGAGTTGCTGACGTACGTCTTTGGCGGCTGGGGCCTCGTGGCGACGGCGGACAAGACAGACGAGGTAAAGCTGATTAGTGCCAGCTCGCCGTCCGCCGTCGTGACAGACACCATGTGCCAGCAGACTGACTCTGCATCGGCCATCTCTTACAACGGCTTCTACGCGAACGGCACGTACGCCGTGCAGGTGTGGCGCGCGTCGTCGGCAGCCGTCGGCACGCAGTACGCGGTGTGTTACAAGCTGAATGGCGGTCAGTACCACGTGATCGGCGACGTTGTGTCGATCACCGAGGCGGCGAACCCGAGCGGCGCCACGTCGCCCAAGATGACCGGTCTCACGACAACGCTCTCGGTTGGGGAGTCCATGTCGTGGACGCTGACTGGAGCGTCGACCGGCTCGTGCGCCGCAAATGAAGCCGCTATCTTCTACAGCGATAAGAACTGCAGTGACGTGCCGTACTACGCGAACGTGTCCGCCGTGCTGACCTCTATCGCAGCCACCAACGATGCCGCAGTGGTGGACAACCTCTTCCCCGCAGGCGCCGCCATCGTGACGAACTGCAGTGCCGCAACCTTGGTGCGCGTCCCCTCGGCCTACACCTTCCCGCGCGGGGCGACCTCCTCGACCTTATCGGTGTGCTACCTGAGCAACGGCACCGGTGTGGTGTCTGTCCTGTCTGACCGCAGCATCGCCCTCTCGGCGGGGCAGCCGCCCGTGCTGAACACGACGCTGTCGGTGCCCGCACAGGAAGTGTTCACCGTGAACCTGACCGTCATCCCGACCACGGCGGATTGGGCAGTGCTGGTGGCAGACGCAAACAGCTGCGTTGGCATCACCCCGCCGACGAACGACGCGTACTTCACGAACATGACCTACAACGCAGGCAGCGGTGTGACGGCCGTCACGGCCGCCGTGCCCGGCGCGGGGATGTACCACGTGTGTTACTCGCACCCGTCGGACGTCTGCGCGGCCGGCACGGGTCGGGAGTGCGCGCGTGTGGTGGCGACGGTGGCCGCCACGGCAAGCAACCCGCAGAGCTGGAGTGGGACGCCGTCGCCGGTGTACGTGACGGGCTCCGTGGCCATCACGATGACGTTTTCGAGCAGCGCAGATGGCGCGGCTCAAGGCACGACGGCGACGGCATGGCTCGCGCCGATTCTCAGCCGCAGCAGCGGTGGAACGACACCGGCGCCCTCTGCCTCCTTGAGCATGATGGATGTGTGGGCCTCGTGCACCGCTACGCGGGCGGCGACCGCGCCCTCCCGCCTCAACCTTACCTTCGACAGCACATCCGGGGCGTGGACGATGCGCAGCGCCTTCACGGCCTCGGGCAGCTACGCCCTGTGCTACACCGCGCAACCCACGGCCGCCTTGCATCTCTTTGGTCCGCTCGGAAGTGCCGGTCCGGTTGTGGTGCCCAGCACCGTCGCCACCGTGACGCTCCCGCCCTCCGTGACGGTGGCGAACACGAACACGATCGTTCTGACGGGTGGTGGACTCTCGACAAGCGATGGCGTGGTCGCGGTGGCCGTGCCCAGGGCCGCCTCCAGCGGGTCCTCGGCAACGCCGTCCTCCTCCGCCGCTCTTCCGGCGGACATCTGCACCAACACGGCGTACACGCCCCGCGTTCCAGCGACGAGCTCGTCGGCGTCGCCCGCCACAAGCGGGCTCAGTACGCTCCTGTCGAACATCGTCTTCAACACCACCGGCAAGTACGTGTTGTGCTACACGGCGACCTACGGCGGCACCACCGCGGACGAGGCGTCCAGTAGCAGCGGTGCGACGAGCGGGACACCGGTTCTCATCACAGAGACCCCCTTCGCGGTCGTGTCCAGTGTGCTCGGCATGACGGTGGTCAGCCCCGCCCTCGAGGTGGGGGTGCCTTTGGAGCTCCTCTTCTCCGGCAATGGGCTGGCCACATCGGACACCGCCGCGCTCGTGTACATCGGCAACGCAACGACCCCTCCCACCGTGGCCACGGTGTGTGAGAGCAGCGGCGTCACCTACACACGGATGCAGTCCGCAAACGCAGCCGGCACGACGGCGACCTATGTCACCACGCCAGCGCGGCAGGGCCTTCACATGGTCTGCTTCCGCGCCTCTGCGGAGGCGACGCCGATCCTGCTGCCGACGCAGCTGAACATCGGCGTGCAGACGGCTGCTCGGGCGGTATTTTCGGTGCAACCGGGCGGCTGCACGGCACTGCAGGTGTGCAGGGTGCAGCCGACCGTGACGCTGCTGGACTCGTCGAACGTGTCAACGTCGGCGCCGTTCTGCACACTCGCGATGAAGCTTTATATGAGCGATGGGACGACGGAGGCGCCGCCGGGGTACCTGTCCGCTGGCACCGCTTACCGCGAGGTCGACTTCACGAACTTCACCTTCTACGCCCTACGCATCTCCACCGCAGGCACGTACGTGATGCGGGCCAACGTCACCCTCGCCAGCGGCCAAACCCTCCTGGCGAGCTCGACCCCGCTTACCGTGGACGACGCCAGCAGCGGGACGGCGAGCGTCGCGTCCGTTGTGTGTGTGCCACCTGATATTCTCGATCGCACCACACGCGAGGGCGCGAGCGCGGTTATTGATTGCATGATCACCGCCCTGGTCAGCTCCGCACCGGGCAACTACACCATCGTGGCGAACGCGGGCGCCGTCTCGACTGTTGTCCGCAACGGCACCACGCCGGGTGGGCTGCCGACCTACCAATTCTCCGTCACCCCGCCGGCCGTCTCGGCGACGTCGATCGTGAACTTCATAGCGATGGTCGTCACGCCGGCCGCGCCCTACGAGAGCTGGCCGGTGGAGAACTCGCCCGTCACGGTGCGGCTCACCACCGCCCCGTCTGCGCTGACAACGCTGCAGTGCGCCGCCTCAGGCAGCACGGCGACGCTGCCGCTGCCGAACATGATACGCGTCGGTGCCTCCCTGCAGTGCGGCGTGCAGGGCGTCGCGAGCATCAGCGGCGTGCCGGTGAACATCGTGGCCCCGCCGGATGACTTAACGGTCACGCAGTACTCTAACGGCGACTCGGGCGCTAGCAAGCCGGTCGACATCGGCGCCTTCCCGGTAGACGTGAACGGGCTCTACTCATTTACGTTGGCGCCGAGCAGTGCCCTGAACTTCTCCGTGGCTGGCACGGTACTGGTGACGACGGGCGGGACGCCGACACCGCACGCGATGGTGAACAGCCCGGTGACGTACATCCTCATTGGCGTCCCCACGGCGGGCGCGTCGAGGCTGACGTGTGTCTCGACGCGCACGGGTTCCGCGCTGTGGTTCGCGCCGGCGGAGCCGCTGCTCTGCACCGCCACGCTGGCGAACGACCAAGGACGCGTGAACGGCCTGCAGGGCGACTACACAGTGGTGCTCCCGAACGGCGGTAGCGTCGTGACGGTGACCGACAGCGACTGGGGCCCGACGTTGGTGTGGAACCTCACGGCCCCACCGCAGCCGCAGGTCTCGGGTGTGGTGCAAGAAACATCGGTGGCACGGCTGGTGGGACGGGCGGAGGTGGAGGTCCTCGCCGCGCCAGTGACAGAGAACTTCGGCGTTCAGGTGCGGCACACGGCGTCTGCCGCCACCATCGGCACCTACTCCGGCGCGCTTGTCTACGTGACGCGTGTCGTGACACCGCTGCCGACGCTGACGAAAGGCGCGACGGTGAGCATGACGCTCGTCGGCGTCGGTTTGGATACGACACATCGGTACGCCTTGGGTAACGACACGTCGTGTGCCACCGTGCAGGCAGAGGCGACCCCGAAAATTGGCAACAGCGAGGGTGCGCTGATTCTCACGTTCACGGTGCCGCCGTCGGTCTTTATCATCTGCTTTGCCCCGGCCGACGCCCGCAACTCGCTGCAGTCTCTCTTCACCACGCAATTCACGCCGGAACCGTCTTCGTCTGGCGGCTCCTCGGGTGATAAGTGGGTCGTGGATGACTTGATTTTGCTGATCATCGGGGTTGTATTTCTCTTTATCTTACTCGTTCTGTTGGTCCTGTTGCTCTGGTGTATCTTCTGCTGCCGCGACGACGACGAGGACGAGGACAAGGTCGTGAAGGAGACGCACCGGGTGTCGCGGTACACCATAAACAACACCACAACATCAATAACCAACCGTGGGACGCACGTGTATATGCCACCGCGCGCTAACACGCGTTATGTGTTGGCCATGACAGACACCCCTCCTACCCAGCCCGCACCGCTTCCGATTGAGGCCTTGTCATCGCAGCAGCAGCAGCTGCCGTCTCCGTCCCCTGCCCCCTCACCACAACCGCAGCAGGCACCAAACAACGTCAACACCGCCACGACCAACTCTAGCACGAAGGTACGCATCAACATCCACGACACCGATACCGCCACCGCACCGCCTGCCGTCAACAACGAAGCCGTTGCCGCCGCACCGAAACTGACAGCGCCAGCACCAGCACTAGCTGATCCGCCCTCTGCGTCCTCGACGCTCTACTCTAGCAGCAGCGGCCTCCACCGCCGTCACCGCCACCGCCGCAGCAGCAGCAGCGCAGCGAGCACCAGCAGCAGCAGCACGATCCCGCGACAGCCGCACCAACACCACCACCCACTGAAACGCAACGACCCCGCGCAGGTTCCTCCGCTGCCGCCCAGCAGACTCAAGTCGGACTCGCGGTACACCGAGCTGGACCAGCCCGTCCCCGCAGCCCCCTCCGACTCCAGCGGCGACCTTCCTCAGTCTACCAACACGGCGAGGCGACAGTCCTTGCCGCCGCTGCCGCCGCCGCCGCTGGTGCCGGCGGGGTCGGCTCCTGTGCCGTCCGCAAAGCCCATTCCGACGCCGTCATCGCCGCCGTTGCCGCTCCCGACGACCCCCGCAGGGCTCGTGCAGAGCCCACAGAAGACCGCACGGACACCGCCACCGGTACCGGCATCCGCTGCGTCAAGTTTGCCGCCGCTGCCGCCACCACCGACGGTTCCGACGGCGACGCCTGCGGACGGCCCCGCACGCAACTCCACCCCGATGGGTCGCTCACTGAGCACGAACAGCGGTGAGGAGGAGATGGTCGGGCCCTTCCGGGTAACAGGTCACACCTCGACCCCGATGGTGCGTTCGCCGGCGTCGTCGCGGCACACGTAACACGATAAGAGAGGGAAAGGAAAACGAAGTCTACTCCGTCCGTTGGAGCGTGTTGTGAGGCCTCTGTTGTTGTTGGCCATTTTGTGTTCGTTTTGTTGGTTCATTTTTGACTTGCTCGGTGCACTCTTCGGTAGCCGTTACTGCTGGCGTGTTGTGTGTGAGTGCACTGTGTGATGTTTCTTTACTTCAGTGAACCGCAACGCAGGGCGAAGCGGTCTCTCCCATCACTTCTCTCCCCCCACATACAACAGGAGGCGATGGTGTTTTTTGGTTTTGTTTTGGTGATACTATAGAACTGTTTTGTTTTTTTGCGCTTTGGTCAGCATTTTCCACCTAGTAGTGCCCCGGCGGCTATTTGGCCGTGTGGTCGGCAGTGGAGGTTGACCGATAGATAGATGTGTGGCGTTGGCGACGTCTGGGGTGCATGAGACGACATACATCCACCGATGTATTCTTTTGTTTTTTGGCTTTTACGATTATTCCTGTGTTTCTTGTTCTACTCCACCCCCTGCCCCCGTCTTCGTTGTCATCGATTCTCAGTAGTGTGTGTCGTTTTCATTTGCACGCCATACCGCGAGAAACAAAGCACAAACTCACCTTCTGCGGTCAGTTCTCGCTTCCAGCGAAGGGGTCAGTCTCGTGTGTGCTCGTCGGCTACCAATTTACGTCGCAACGCGTCTCCTTGATTTGCTGCGTTGCGTATTGCACGGTACACACATCATTTCCGTTCATTGCCATCGAAGTGAGCTGCCTTGTGTTTCGCATTCGCTCTCCCGTACGGTCCCCATGACGCTCCCAAGGACCGAATGAACAGCCGCCGCTATCTCCGACCTGTTCCCGCCTCTGCACCACCTACAAATCCTCCACCGTCACTCTCCTCTCACATCTCTTCCATGCTTTCTTGCTCCTATTCCTCCGCCAATAACGCACACGCCAACGCAGCTTTCTCTCACACCTCCATAACACGTCTCCGCTCGTCCATCTCTCGCTAACCACCACACCCCCGTCAACACAACAGACACCATGTCCGCCGACAACAAGCTGATCTTCCTGGAGAAGGCCGCCGTCTTTGGGTCGGGTGCCTTCGGCACTGCCCTCGCCATGGTTCTCTCCAAGAAGTGCAAGCAGGTCAACGTGTGGCACATGAACCAGAAGGAGGCCGCCCTCGTCAACGAGAAGCACGAGAACGTGCTCTTCCTCAAGGGCGTCCCCCTCGCCAAGAACGTCAAGTTCACCGCCGACGTGGACGAGACCTACAAGGGTGCCGGCGCGATCCTCTTCGTGATCCCCACGCAGTTCATGCGCGGCTTCCTGAAGGCGCACGGGGCGAAGCTGCTGTCGTACGTCAAGGCGAACAAGGTGCCCGTGGTGGTGTGCTCCAAGGGCATCGAGCGCTCGTCCCTCCTCTTCCCGGAGCAGATCCTCAGCGAGTTCTTCCCCGGCGTCTCCCTCTCCGTGCTGGCCGGTCCCAGCTTCGCGGCGGAGGTGGCACGCGGCGTGTTCACCTGCGTCAGCGTGTGCAACCGCAACATCGACGAGGCGCGCCAGCTGCAGCGCATCATGACCACGGCCGACCACAGCTTCCTGTGCTTCGCCACCACCGACACGGCGGGCTCGGAGGTGGCCAGCGCCATGAAGAACGTGCTCGCCATCGGCTCCGGCATTGCCTCCGGTCTCGGCATGGGGCTTGACGCCCGCGCCGCCCTGATCGCCCGCGGTCTGCTGGAGATCCGCGACGTGACGAAGGCGCTGGGCGGCGACGGCGCCGCCGTGTTCGGCCTCCCCGGCCTCGGCGACCTGCTGCTGACCTGCTCGTCGGAGCTGTCGCGCAACTTCACCGTGGGCAAGCGGCTCGGCCAGGGCGAGACCCTGGACCACATCCAGAAGACCAGCAAGGCGGTCGCCGAGGGCGTCTTCACGGCGGACCCGCTGATGCGCCTTGCGGCGAAGCTGAAGGTGGAGCTGCCCATCTGCTCCCTCATCCACCGCGTCGTGGCTGGCCAACTGACGCCGCGCGACGCCGTGACACAGCTGATCTCCCGCGACGTCCGCGACGAGGGCCTGCCGAAGCTCTTCAACTTCCACAAGACCACCTCCAGCCTGTAGTCCGCGTGGCGGCCGAGTAACTGTCGTGGTGTGGCCCACGAGACGCGCACCTGGTCGAGCAGCAGTGTTTGCGAGGCACGTGCCGTGTCGGGTGAGGGGGCCATGACGGGAGGAGAGGTCGGACAGCTCGCTTCCCCCGGCTCTCGTGGGCCACCGCCACTCTAACTAGTAACGTATTAGGCTCTCGTTTTGTTTTGATTTCTTTTCTCCCGCCTCGCGTTCTCTTTGTGCGGTCACTGGGGCGTCGCAGCGGGGCTGTGCGTCCCGTGCTGCGACGGCGGGCGTCTTCCTCGCCCTCCGCCCCCCACTCGGCGGCTCCTTTGACCAACCCAAGAGACACGCGCCGCGGGCCTCAAAATCGGCGCGTTGCGCACCGTGCCCGGCTTCCTCACGCCTCTCCGTGACGCCCGCAGCCGCTCACGCTTCACAAAGTTACTGGTTCGACCGGCACGTCACGGTGCAGCGCGTGAGGCAGAGCCGCCACGTACGGCGCAAAGCGCACATGCTGGTGCAAAAATTAAACATCTTTCTTCCTTCTTGTTTCCGTCACACATCTGTAAATGCTGAGCAGTCGTTCGTTTCCTCGATACACGCACACACGCAAGCACGCACGTACGCCCACTACGCCCCCGACAAGCGACTCGTCTGTGCTTCGTCTCTCACGTTTCCTTGTTTCGTTTATTGTCCTTCACTCCCCGCGCCGCGGCTTCGTGCCACGCAAACGCTCCGGGAGGCGGCGGCGGTGCCTGTTGTGGGACGTCTGCGCAGCTGTGGACAGTTTTTCGCTTCAAAACCACTCAAAATGTTCTCGCCCGTTCGTTATATTACTCCTACCAGTAACGGTGTCGCGGTCTGTGCCCTTCCGTCGTGGTGTTTTTTGCGTGCGTCCCTATACGGTTTCCAACGCAGTCGAAGTGCCGTGAGCGCGACTGTTGTGTTTTCCACCTCCGTTCCGTATGTGTTCCCGCTCCCTCCCTCTCTCGGGGAGGCTGCGCACCTTCAACTCCCCGCATTGCTTCCTGACGTTCTCCCCCCTCCGTGCGCTGCTCGACGCCGCGCGTAGCTCTGCGCGCCGCCAACTGCAGGCCCGGCGGGCCGTACGGCCGGTGCCTGGCGTACATGGCAGCTCCCCTGCTCTTGCGTGCTTGGGCTGCGCCTTCACGCAGCAGCGTGCGCGACTGCCCGTGCCGGTGGCGCGACGCGTCTCCCTCGTGGACGCAGCCCCGCGCCTTGACTCCCGCGACTCTCCTCTTCTCCTCCCACCCCGCACCTCACTCCTCTCGATATGCGCGTGCGCTCCCGCTCCGCTGCGTCTGCGTCCACCCCGCCCACCAATAACGCACACGCCAACGCAGCTTTCTCTCACACCTCCATAACACGTCTCCGCTCGTCCATCTCTCGCTAACCACCACACCCCCGTCAACACAACAGACACCATGTCCGCCGACAACAAGCTGATCTTCCTGGAGAAGGCCGCCGTCTTTGGGTCGGGTGCCTTCGGCACTGCCCTCGCCATGGTTCTCTCCAAGAAGTGCAAGCAGGTCAACGTGTGGCACATGAACCAGAAGGAGGCCGCCCTCGTCAACGAGAAGCACGAGAACGTGCTCTTCCTCAAGGGCGTCCCCCTCGCCAAGAACGTCAAGTTCACCGCCGACGTGGACGAGACCTACAAGGGTGCCGGCGCGATCCTCTTCGTGATCCCCACGCAGTTCATGCGCGGCTTCCTGAAGGCGCACGGGGCGAAGCTGCTGTCGTACGTCAAGGCGAACAAGGTGCCCGTGGTGGTGTGCTCCAAGGGCATCGAGCGCTCGTCCCTCCTCTTCCCGGAGCAGATCCTCAGCGAGTTCTTCCCCGGCGTCTCCCTCTCCGTGCTGGCCGGTCCCAGCTTCGCGGCGGAGGTGGCACGCGGCGTGTTCACCTGCGTCAGCGTGTGCAACCGCAACATCGACGAGGCGCGCCAGCTGCAGCGCATCATGACCACGGCCGACCACAGCTTCCTGTGCTTCGCCACCACCGACACGGCGGGCTCGGAGGTGGCCAGCGCCATGAAGAACGTGCTCGCCATCGGCTCCGGCATTGCCTCCGGTCTCGGCATGGGGCTTGACGCCCGCGCCGCCCTGATCGCCCGCGGTCTGCTGGAGATCCGCGACGTGACGAAGGCGCTGGGCGGCGACGGCGCCGCCGTGTTCGGCCTCCCCGGCCTCGGCGACCTGCTGCTGACCTGCTCGTCGGAGCTGTCGCGCAACTTCACCGTGGGCAAGCGGCTCGGCCAGGGCGAGACCCTGGACCACATCCAGAAGACCAGCAAGGCGGTCGCCGAGGGCGTCTTCACGGCGGACCCGCTGATGCGCCTTGCGGCGAAGCTGAAGGTGGAGCTGCCCATCTGCTCCCTCATCCACCGCGTCGTGGCTGGCCAACTGACGCCGCGCGACGCCGTGACACAGCTGATCTCCCGCGACGTCCGCGACGAGGGCCTGCCGAAGCTCTTCAACTTCCACAAGACCACCTCCAGCCTGTAGTCCGCGTGGCGGCCGAGTAACTGTCGTGGTGTGGCCCACGAGACGCGCACCTGGTCGAGCAGCAGTGTTTGCGAGGCACGTGCCGTGTCGGGTGAGGGGGCCATGACGGGAGGAGAGGTCGGACAGCTCGCTTCCCCCGGCTCTCGTGGGCCACCGCCACTCTAACTAGTAACGTATTAGGCTCTCGTTTTGTTTTGATTTCTTTTCTCCCGCCTCGCGTTCTCTTTGTGCGGTCACTGGGGCGTCGCAGCGGGGCTGTGCGTCCCGTGCTGCGACGGCGGGCGTCTTCCTCGCCCTCCGCCCCCCACTCGGCGGCTCCTTTGACCAACCCAAGAGACACGCGCCGCGGGCCTCAAAATCGGCGCGTTGCGCACCGTGCCCGGCTTCCTCACGCCTCTCCGTGACGCCCGCAGCCGCTCACGCTTCACAAAGTTACTGGTTCGACCGGCACGTCACGGTGCAGCGCGTGAGGCAGAGCCGCCACGTACGGCGCAAAGCGCACATGCTGGTGCAAAAATTAAACATCTTTCTTCCTTCTTGTTTCCGTCACACATCTGTAAATGCTGAGCAGTCGTTCGTTTCCTCGATACACGCACACACGCAAGCACGCACGTACGCCCACTACGCCCCCGACAAGCGACTCGTCTGTGCTTCGTCTCTCACGTTTCCTTGTTTCGTTTATTGTCCTTCACTCCCCGCGCCGCGGCTTCGTGCCACGCAAACGCTCCGGGAGGCGGCGGCGGTGCCTGTTGTGGGACGTCTGCGCAGCTGTGGACAGTTTTTCGCTTCAAAACCACTCAAAATGTTCTCGCCCGTTCGTTATATTACTCCTACCAGTAACGGTGTCGCGGTCTGTGCCCTTCCGTCGTGGTGTTTTTTGCGTGCGTCCCTATACGGTTTCCAACGCAGTCGAAGTGCCGTGAGCGCGACTGTTGTGTTTTCCACCTCCGTTCCGTATGTGTTCCCGCTCCCTCCCTCTCTCGGGGAGGCTGCGCACCTTCAACTCCCCGCATTGCTTCCTGACGTTCTCCCCCCTCCGTGCGCTGCTCGACGCCGCGCGTAGCTCTGCGCGCCGCCAACTGCAGGCCCGGCGGGCCGTACGGCCGGTGCCTGGCGTACATGGCAGCTCCCCTGCTCTTGCGTGCTTGGGCTGCGCCTTCACGCAGCAGCGTGCGCGACTGCCCGTGCCGGTGGCGCGACGCGTCTCCCTCGTGGACGCAGCCCCGCGCCTTGACTCCCGCGACTCTCCTCTTCTCCTCCCACCCCGCACCTCACTCCTCTCGATATGCGCGTGCGCTCCCGCTCCGCTGCGTCTGCGTCCACCCCGCCCACCAATAACGCACACGCCAACGCAGCTTTCTCTCACACCTCCATAACACGTCTCCGCTCGTCCATCTCTCGCTAACCACCACACCCCCGTCAACACAACAGACACCATGTCCGCCGACAACAAGCTGATCTTCCTGGAGAAGGCCGCCGTCTTTGGGTCGGGTGCCTTCGGCACTGCCCTCGCCATGGTTCTCTCCAAGAAGTGCAAGCAGGTCAACGTGTGGCACATGAACCAGAAGGAGGCCGCCCTCGTCAACGAGAAGCACGAGAACGTGCTCTTCCTCAAGGGCGTCCCCCTCGCCAAGAACGTCAAGTTCACCGCCGACGTGGACGAGACCTACAAGGGTGCCGGCGCGATCCTCTTCGTGATCCCCACGCAGTTCATGCGCGGCTTCCTGAAGGCGCACGGGGCGAAGCTGCTGTCGTACGTCAAGGCGAACAAGGTGCCCGTGGTGGTGTGCTCCAAGGGCATCGAGCGCTCGTCCCTCCTCTTCCCGGAGCAGATCCTCAGCGAGTTCTTCCCCGGCGTCTCCCTCTCCGTGCTGGCCGGTCCCAGCTTCGCGGCGGAGGTGGCACGCGGCGTGTTCACCTGCGTCAGCGTGTGCAACCGCAACATCGACGAGGCGCGCCAGCTGCAGCGCATCATGACCACGGCCGACCACAGCTTCCTGTGCTTCGCCACCACCGACACGGCGGGCTCGGAGGTGGCCAGCGCCATGAAGAACGTGCTCGCCATCGGCTCCGGCATTGCCTCCGGTCTCGGCATGGGGCTTGACGCCCGCGCCGCCCTGATCGCCCGCGGTCTGCTGGAGATCCGCGACGTGACGAAGGCGCTGGGCGGCGACGGCGCCGCCGTGTTCGGCCTCCCCGGCCTCGGCGACCTGCTGCTGACCTGCTCGTCGGAGCTGTCGCGCAACTTCACCGTGGGCAAGCGGCTCGGCCAGGGCGAGACCCTGGACCACATCCAGAAGACCAGCAAGGCGGTCGCCGAGGGCGTCTTCACGGCGGACCCGCTGATGCGCCTTGCGGCGAAGCTGAAGGTGGAGCTGCCCATCTGCTCCCTCATCCACCGCGTCGTGGCTGGCCAACTGACGCCGCGCGACGCCGTGACACAGCTGATCTCCCGCGACGTCCGCGACGAGGGCCTGCCGAAGCTCTTCAACTTCCACAAGACCACCTCCAGCCTGTAGTCCGCGTGGCGGCCGAGTAACTGTCGTGGTGTGGCCCACGAGACGCGCACCTGGTCGAGCAGCAGTGTTTGCGAGGCACGTGCCGTGTCGGGTGAGGGGGCCATGACGGGAGGAGAGGTCGGACAGCTCGCTTCCCCCGGCTCTCGTGGGCCACCGCCACTCTAACTAGTAACGTATTAGGCTCTCGTTTTGTTTTGATTTCTTTTCTCCCGCCTCGCGTTCTCTTTGTGCGGTCACTGGGGCGTCGCAGCGGGGCTGTGCGTCCCGTGCTGCGACGGCGGGCGTCTTCCTCGCCCTCCGCCCCCCACTCGGCGGCTCCTTTGACCAACCCAAGAGACACGCGCCGCGGGCCTCAAAATCGGCGCGTTGCGCACCGTGCCCGGCTTCCTCACGCCTCTCCGTGACGCCCGCAGCCGCTCACGCTTCACAAAGTTACTGGTTCGACCGGCACGTCACGGTGCAGCGCGTGAGGCAGAGCCGCCACGTACGGCGCAAAGCGCACATGCTGGTGCAAAAATTAAACATCTTTCTTCCTTCTTGTTTCCGTCACACATCTGTAAATGCTGAGCAGTCGTTCGTTTCCTCGATACACGCACACACGCAAGCACGCACGTACGCCCACTACGCCCCCGACAAGCGACTCGTCTGTGCTTCGTCTCTCACGTTTCCTTGTTTCGTTTATTGTCCTTCACTCCCCGCGCCGCGGCTTCGTGCCACGCAAACGCTCCGGGAGGCGGCGGCGGTGCCTGTTGTGGGACGTCTGCGCAGCTGTGGACAGTTTTTCGCTTCAAAACCACTCAAAATGTTCTCGCCCGTTCGTTATATTACTCCTACCAGTAACGGTGTCGCGGTCTGTGCCCTTCCGTCGTGGTGTTTTTTGCGTGCGTCCCTATACGGTTTCCAACGCAGTCGAAGTGCCGTGAGCGCGACTGTTGTGTTTTCCACCTCCGTTCCGTATGTGTTCCCGCTCCCTCCCTCTCTCGGGGAGGCTGCGCACCTTCAACTCCCCGCATTGCTTCCTGACGTTCTCCCCCCTCCGTGCGCTGCTCGACGCCGCGCGTAGCTCTGCGCGCCGCCAACTGCAGGCCCGGCGGGCCGTACGGCCGGTGCCTGGCGTACATGGCAGCTCCCCTGCTCTTGCGTGCTTGGGCTGCGCCTTCACGCAGCAGCGTGCGCGACTGCCCGTGCCGGTGGCGCGACGCGTCTCCCTCGTGGACGCAGCCCCGCGCCTTGACTCCCGCGACTCTCCTCTTCTCCTCCCACCCCGCACCTCACTCCTCTCGATATGCGCGTGCGCTCCCGCTCCGCTGCGTCTGCGTCCACCCCGCCCACCAATAACGCACACGCCAACGCAGCTTTCTCTCACACCTCCATAACACGTCTCCGCTCGTCCATCTCTCGCTAACCACCACACCCCCGTCAACACAACAGACACCATGTCCGCCGACAACAAGCTGATCTTCCTGGAGAAGGCCGCCGTCTTTGGGTCGGGTGCCTTCGGCACTGCCCTCGCCATGGTTCTCTCCAAGAAGTGCAAGCAGGTCAACGTGTGGCACATGAACCAGAAGGAGGCCGCCCTCGTCAACGAGAAGCACGAGAACGTGCTCTTCCTCAAGGGCGTCCCCCTCGCCAAGAACGTCAAGTTCACCGCCGACGTGGACGAGACCTACAAGGGTGCCGGCGCGATCCTCTTCGTGATCCCCACGCAGTTCATGCGCGGCTTCCTGAAGGCGCACGGGGCGAAGCTGCTGTCGTACGTCAAGGCGAACAAGGTGCCCGTGGTGGTGTGCTCCAAGGGCATCGAGCGCTCGTCCCTCCTCTTCCCGGAGCAGATCCTCAGCGAGTTCTTCCCCGGCGTCTCCCTCTCCGTGCTGGCCGGTCCCAGCTTCGCGGCGGAGGTGGCACGCGGCGTGTTCACCTGCGTCAGCGTGTGCAACCGCAACATCGACGAGGCGCGCCAGCTGCAGCGCATCATGACCACGGCCGACCACAGCTTCCTGTGCTTCGCCACCACCGACACGGCGGGCTCGGAGGTGGCCAGCGCCATGAAGAACGTGCTCGCCATCGGCTCCGGCATTGCCTCCGGTCTCGGCATGGGGCTTGACGCCCGCGCCGCCCTGATCGCCCGCGGTCTGCTGGAGATCCGCGACGTGACGAAGGCGCTGGGCGGCGACGGCGCCGCCGTGTTCGGCCTCCCCGGCCTCGGCGACCTGCTGCTGACCTGCTCGTCGGAGCTGTCGCGCAACTTCACCGTGGGCAAGCGGCTCGGCCAGGGCGAGACCCTGGACCACATCCAGAAGACCAGCAAGGCGGTCGCCGAGGGCGTCTTCACGGCGGACCCGCTGATGCGCCTTGCGGCGAAGCTGAAGGTGGAGCTGCCCATCTGCTCCCTCATCCACCGCGTCGTGGCTGGCCAACTGACGCCGCGCGACGCCGTGACACAGCTGATCTCCCGCGACGTCCGCGACGAGGGCCTGCCGAAGCTCTTCAACTTCCACAAGACCACCTCCAGCCTGTAGTCCGCGTGGCGGCCGAGTAACTGTCGTGGTGTGGCCCACGAGACGCGCACCTGGTCGAGCAGCAGTGTTTGCGAGGCACGTGCCGTGTCGGGTGAGGGGGCCATGACGGGAGGAGAGGTCGGACAGCTCGCTTCCCCCGGCTCTCGTGGGCCACCGCCACTCTAACTAGTAACGTATTAGGCTCTCGTTTTGTTTTGATTTCTTTTCTCCCGCCTCGCGTTCTCTTTGTGCGGTCACTGGGGCGTCGCAGCGGGGCTGTGCGTCCCGTGCTGCGACGGCGGGCGTCTTCCTCGCCCTCCGCCCCCCACTCGGCGGCTCCTTTGACCAACCCAAGAGACACGCGCCGCGGGCCTCAAAATCGGCGCGTTGCGCACCGTGCCCGGCTTCCTCACGCCTCTCCGTGACGCCCGCAGCCGCTCACGCTTCACAAAGTTACTGGTTCGACCGGCACGTCACGGTGCAGCGCGTGAGGCAGAGCCGCCACGTACGGCGCAAAGCGCACATGCTGGTGCAAAAATTAAACATCTTTCTTCCTTCTTGTTTCCGTCACACATCTGTAAATGCTGAGCAGTCGTTCGTTTCCTCGATACACGCACACACGCAAGCACGCACGTACGCCCACTACGCCCCCGACAAGCGACTCGTCTGTGCTTCGTCTCTCACGTTTCCTTGTTTCGTTTATTGTCCTTCACTCCCCGCGCCGCGGCTTCGTGCCACGCAAACGCTCCGGGAGGCGGCGGCGGTGCCTGTTGTGGGACGTCTGCGCAGCTGTGGACAGTTTTTCGCTTCAAAACCACTCAAAATGTTCTCGCCCGTTCGTTATATTACTCCTACCAGTAACGGTGTCGCGGTCTGTGCCCTTCCGTCGTGGTGTTTTTTGCGTGCGTCCCTATACGGTTTCCAACGCAGTCGAAGTGCCGTGAGCGCGACTGTTGTGTTTTCCACCTCCGTTCCGTATGTGTTCCCGCTCCCTCCCTCTCTCGGGGAGGCTGCGCACCTTCAACTCCCCGCATTGCTTCCTGACGTTCTCCCCCCTCCGTGCGCTGCTCGACGCCGCGCGTAGCTCTGCGCGCCGCCAACTGCAGGCCCGGCGGGCCGTACGGCCGGTGCCTGGCGTACATGGCAGCTCCCCTGCTCTTGCGTGCTTGGGCTGCGCCTTCACGCAGCAGCGTGCGCGACTGCCCGTGCCGGTGGCGCGACGCGTCTCCCTCGTGGACGCAGCCCCGCGCCTTGACTCCCGCGACTCTCCTCTTCTCCTCCCACCCCGCACCTCACTCCTCTCGATATGCGCGTGCGCTCCCGCTCCGCTGCGTCTGCGTCCACCCCGCCCACCAATAACGCACACGCCAACGCAGCTTTCTCTCACACCTCCATAACACGTCTCCGCTCGTCCATCTCTCGCTAACCACCACACCCCCGTCAACACAACAGACACCATGTCCGCCGACAACAAGCTGATCTTCCTGGAGAAGGCCGCCGTCTTTGGGTCGGGTGCCTTCGGCACTGCCCTCGCCATGGTTCTCTCCAAGAAGTGCAAGCAGGTCAACGTGTGGCACATGAACCAGAAGGAGGCCGCCCTCGTCAACGAGAAGCACGAGAACGTGCTCTTCCTCAAGGGCGTCCCCCTCGCCAAGAACGTCAAGTTCACCGCCGACGTGGACGAGACCTACAAGGGTGCCGGCGCGATCCTCTTCGTGATCCCCACGCAGTTCATGCGCGGCTTCCTGAAGGCGCACGGGGCGAAGCTGCTGTCGTACGTCAAGGCGAACAAGGTGCCCGTGGTGGTGTGCTCCAAGGGCATCGAGCGCTCGTCCCTCCTCTTCCCGGAGCAGATCCTCAGCGAGTTCTTCCCCGGCGTCTCCCTCTCCGTGCTGGCCGGTCCCAGCTTCGCGGCGGAGGTGGCACGCGGCGTGTTCACCTGCGTCAGCGTGTGCAACCGCAACATCGACGAGGCGCGCCAGCTGCAGCGCATCATGACCACGGCCGACCACAGCTTCCTGTGCTTCGCCACCACCGACACGGCGGGCTCGGAGGTGGCCAGCGCCATGAAGAACGTGCTCGCCATCGGCTCCGGCATTGCCTCCGGTCTCGGCATGGGGCTTGACGCCCGCGCCGCCCTGATCGCCCGCGGTCTGCTGGAGATCCGCGACGTGACGAAGGCGCTGGGCGGCGACGGCGCCGCCGTGTTCGGCCTCCCCGGCCTCGGCGACCTGCTGCTGACCTGCTCGTCGGAGCTGTCGCGCAACTTCACCGTGGGCAAGCGGCTCGGCCAGGGCGAGACCCTGGACCACATCCAGAAGACCAGCAAGGCGGTCGCCGAGGGCGTCTTCACGGCGGACCCGCTGATGCGCCTTGCGGCGAAGCTGAAGGTGGAGCTGCCCATCTGCTCCCTCATCCACCGCGTCGTGGCTGGCCAACTGACGCCGCGCGACGCCGTGACACAGCTGATCTCCCGCGACGTCCGCGACGAGGGCCTGCCGAAGCTCTTCAACTTCCACAAGACCACCTCCAGCCTGTAGTCCGCGTGGCGGCCGAGTAACTGTCGTGGTGTGGCCCACGAGACGCGCACCTGGTCGAGCAGCAGTGTTTGCGAGGCACGTGCCGTGTCGGGTGAGGGGGCCATGACGGGAGGAGAGGTCGGACAGCTCGCTTCCCCCGGCTCTCGTGGGCCACCGCCACTCTAACTAGTAACGTATTAGGCTCTCGTTTTGTTTTGATTTCTTTTCTCCCGCCTCGCGTTCTCTTTGTGCGGTCACTGGGGCGTCGCAGCGGGGCTGTGCGTCCCGTGCTGCGACGGCGGGCGTCTTCCTCGCCCTCCGCCCCCCACTCGGCGGCTCCTTTGACCAACCCAAGAGACACGCGCCGCGGGCCTCAAAATCGGCGCGTTGCGCACCGTGCCCGGCTTCCTCACGCCTCTCCGTGACGCCCGCAGCCGCTCACGCTTCACAAAGTTACTGGTTCGACCGGCACGTCACGGTGCAGCGCGTGAGGCAGAGCCGCCACGTACGGCGCAAAGCGCACATGCTGGTGCAAAAATTAAACATCTTTCTTCCTTCTTGTTTCCGTCACACATCTGTAAATGCTGAGCAGTCGTTCGTTTCCTCGATACACGCACACACGCAAGCACGCACGTACGCCCACTACGCCCCCGACAAGCGACTCGTCTGTGCTTCGTCTCTCACGTTTCCTTGTTTCGTTTATTGTCCTTCACTCCCCGCGCCGCGGCTTCGTGCCACGCAAACGCTCCGGGAGGCGGCGGCGGTGCCTGTTGTGGGACGTCTGCGCAGCTGTGGACAGTTTTTCGCTTCAAAACCACTCAAAATGTTCTCGCCCGTTCGTTATATTACTCCTACCAGTAACGGTGTCGCGGTCTGTGCCCTTCCGTCGTGGTGTTTTTTGCGTGCGTCCCTATACGGTTTCCAACGCAGTCGAAGTGCCGTGAGCGCGACTGTTGTGTTTTCCACCTCCGTTCCGTATGTGTTCCCGCTCCCTCCCTCTCTCGGGGAGGCTGCGCACCTTCAACTCCCCGCATTGCTTCCTGACGTTCTCCCCCCTCCGTGCGCTGCTCGACGCCGCGCGTAGCTCTGCGCGCCGCCAACTGCAGGCCCGGCGGGCCGTACGGCCGGTGCCTGGCGTACATGGCAGCTCCCCTGCTCTTGCGTGCTTGGGCTGCGCCTTCACGCAGCAGCGTGCGCGACTGCCCGTGCCGGTGGCGCGACGCGTCTCCCTCGTGGACGCAGCCCCGCGCCTTGACTCCCGCGACTCTCCTCTTCTCCTCCCACCCCGCACCTCACTCCTCTCGATATGCGCGTGCGCTCCCGCTCCGCTGCGTCTGCGTCCACCCCGCCCACCAATAACGCACACGCCAACGCAGCTTTCTCTCACACCTCCATAACACGTCTCCGCTCGTCCATCTCTCGCTAACCACCACACCCCCGTCAACACAACAGACACCATGTCCGCCGACAACAAGCTGATCTTCCTGGAGAAGGCCGCCGTCTTTGGGTCGGGTGCCTTCGGCACTGCCCTCGCCATGGTTCTCTCCAAGAAGTGCAAGCAGGTCAACGTGTGGCACATGAACCAGAAGGAGGCCGCCCTCGTCAACGAGAAGCACGAGAACGTGCTCTTCCTCAAGGGCGTCCCCCTCGCCAAGAACGTCAAGTTCACCGCCGACGTGGACGAGACCTACAAGGGTGCCGGCGCGATCCTCTTCGTGATCCCCACGCAGTTCATGCGCGGCTTCCTGAAGGCGCACGGGGCGAAGCTGCTGTCGTACGTCAAGGCGAACAAGGTGCCCGTGGTGGTGTGCTCCAAGGGCATCGAGCGCTCGTCCCTCCTCTTCCCGGAGCAGATCCTCAGCGAGTTCTTCCCCGGCGTCTCCCTCTCCGTGCTGGCCGGTCCCAGCTTCGCGGCGGAGGTGGCACGCGGCGTGTTCACCTGCGTCAGCGTGTGCAACCGCAACATCGACGAGGCGCGCCAGCTGCAGCGCATCATGACCACGGCCGACCACAGCTTCCTGTGCTTCGCCACCACCGACACGGCGGGCTCGGAGGTGGCCAGCGCCATGAAGAACGTGCTCGCCATCGGCTCCGGCATTGCCTCCGGTCTCGGCATGGGGCTTGACGCCCGCGCCGCCCTGATCGCCCGCGGTCTGCTGGAGATCCGCGACGTGACGAAGGCGCTGGGCGGCGACGGCGCCGCCGTGTTCGGCCTCCCCGGCCTCGGCGACCTGCTGCTGACCTGCTCGTCGGAGCTGTCGCGCAACTTCACCGTGGGCAAGCGGCTCGGCCAGGGCGAGACCCTGGACCACATCCAGAAGACCAGCAAGGCGGTCGCCGAGGGCGTCTTCACGGCGGACCCGCTGATGCGCCTTGCGGCGAAGCTGAAGGTGGAGCTGCCCATCTGCTCCCTCATCCACCGCGTCGTGGCTGGCCAACTGACGCCGCGCGACGCCGTGACACAGCTGATCTCCCGCGACGTCCGCGACGAGGGCCTGCCGAAGCTCTTCAACGCAGGAAATACACCTTCGAAACTCTGATGGGCTCTGGTCTCTGGTTCTCCTTTACTATTTAGCACCTACGTTCTGTTGCTTTTCATGATGCTGTTCGCCGTCCTGTGCGTGTTGTCTCCGCGCGCACACCGGTGGCGTTGAGTTCTTTTAAGCATTGTTTTTTGCTATTCAATGATTTCCTTCTCTCTGCGGGAACAGTCATACACGTTCCATGGAAGGTACCTCACGCCGAGTGATGCGCAGCATCAGCAGGTGACGAGCAACTTCTCACCGTTGTGTTTTGGATTTCTTCTGCCTTTACTTCGGTTATCTATTTAGTTTTATTATTATTACTGTTGTCGTTGTTGCTGTGGTTCGTGGTCTGCACTGCATGTGTTGTCTTGGGGGGGTAGGCCTCGCGGAGTGTCCTCCTCCTCCGTAGTGCGTAGGTGTGTCTGTGTGTGCCGCAGGACCGCGTGTGTATGGATGGGCGTTGCCGAGCCAATACACCGACTCACCTGTGTGGGTACGTCCACTTGCGTTTTACTGTTGCTGAGTATCTCTTTCCTTTGGATCTTTTTACTTGTTTCTTTCTTTCTCCATTTGTAGCACGCAAAGCTCCGCGTCGAGCGTGGGCGTCGTTTGCTTCCTTCTTCTTTCTCTCTATCAACTATCTACACAGAAGTTTGTTTGTACTGACGTTTCTCCTTGACCCGCTTTTCCAGCGTTCCTCACGTGCATCGTGAGGGGTGATGGCAGACTCACCCAACGCAGTCTCCTTTGCACCAGCGTGTGTGCGGTGGAGTACGCAACCCTTTGTTCGACCTCCTTTTATTGGCTAGCGAACCCACATACCAGGTTTCAGAGGCCGCTGAGAGGCAGGAGGGCAACGCGCTTGCTAACGAGATCGGTGGAAACTCGGCTATTCCTTTTGGCGCTGGACCCATACATCCTAAGAAACGCTGATGATGCACACGCAGTGTGATGCCTACGCTTCTTATTCGACATATATCTGTATTCCCGCCACCTCTCGTGGGGGGCGGTTGCGCTGTTGTCTAGGCAAGTATCTCATTGGGTGGCGGTGTGTGTGCACGGATGTGGATGCAGGGGCAAGCACGCGGCACACCCAACGAGAAACCGGCCTAGACAACAGCTTGTATACATGGCGCCCCAAGGCAACTTCGCACGGTTCAAAAGATATCATTCCCAAAAATGAAGAGCAAGGAAGCTGTTGTTGTGAGAACACAAAAACTGCTCCCACGACTCAAGTCGCGGAGCCTCCGTCGATGCGGGCGCGCGCCGGATGATTCCAAAACAAGGACGCGTGTCGATCTTCAACGCTGCACGCTTTGGCTCTCGCCCGCTTCCCAGGCGCCCTGCGGAACATGTCTTTCAC